ATGGAAAACCCATGAGTAGGCCTATGTCCAGCAGTGGACGTCCATCGGCTATTATGATGAATGGCTGTGTTCATATTTTGGTAGCGAAAGTAATGATCGTCCAATATGATCGTCTGTCCGTCTGTTACACTTTCTAACCTAATCGGCACAAACTAATTTCATAAAATATTTGATAAGGAGTACCTACTTAATACTTATTACAAATGCGAAAGTAACTTTGTGTGTCTGTTACACTCTCACGCTTTATCGCTGGTGTGGAGATGTAGAATTCTACGAAGAAGTACAAAGTCAGTTTGAGGTCATACCCTTTTTGCAAAAGTTAGATTCGCAGTGTTTCTATTGAATACTGATTTTAATTTTCTCCAGCCATGAACACAAAAAGTCCAGACATTTAAGAATATTGTAAAGATATTTTTATTACTTATTCAAAGCCACGTCTCAGATGGCCTCGAAAGAGTACCGTGCCATCGTAAAGGGCTTACCTTCTACTTGAAATAAAGCCAATTTTAAGGTAGAGCAAGAAATTTGGTACCTAGATACCTACTTAGTTCTTAGTGTGATTATGTTTTTTATCTTTAATTTACGTACCGCCAGCCGCAGTACTCATTATACTCATTATGTCAAAGTTTAATCTGTCTACATATTGCAATATAAGAACCAATTAATTACGGCCTAACGCATGGATGTAAAGGCTTAATAATAAAGTTTCATACTAGTTTATAACTCAGTGTCCCAATGAAAATTGAACAAATCCACTCCACTGGCCCGTCAAAACATCCAGTTCAAACAATCCACAGTCCACTACCAGCCAATTCAAATAGTACAGAGGCGAAATAATGCGGCCCACTTGGATCAGAGTTCTTAAAACTCTTGACTATTAAATAAATAAATAAATATTTGCAACACTCACACCAATTATCCTAGCCTTAAATTAAGCACTGTGGGCTTTTGTTATGGGATACTAGGGTAACGGATTAATTACATATACTGATACATATATAAGTATATTTATATAGAAATACATATTAAACATCCTTGAGTGGAGTACAAATGCTTGTATTCATCACACAAACATCTGCCCCCGCTGGGATTCGAACCCGGGACTTCTCTAGTAGGCGACACCTTGAAACTTGGCATACAAAACCCTTGACCACGGAGGTCGCCAAACTATTGAACCCCAAAAACTTCAACAGGGAAGTGTGTAAAGCAGTTAGGTGGTATCTACCCATATGTTTCTAATTTTCGAAGGTCACAAAGGTTACTGGAGGGGGCAGGATCTGAAAGGCGCATCTTGGTAGTGAAACATATTTAAGTACCTAAACATCATTATTATACGATTACGATTTCTTATATACGATTTCTTCCGGAAACAGTAGTTACAGTTTTCATTATCATGGCACCTAGGTTTTTAATATCTACATGGAAATCATGCAGGTAGGGCTTAAAGGAGTGATATTTTTCGTATCGTAAGCGTCTATAGGCTATGGTGGCCTCTTACCATAAGGCGGGCCATATGCTTGCTTTAACATAAATAAAAAGCAGTATAGCATTCATCTATAAGCCTTCTATCATTTCTTTCCACTCCAAGACCAGTACGACAAACCCCGTCTCAAGGCCAAGTCTTTTTATTTCTCTGGTCTGGTTTTACATCACTACGTTAGTGTCTAATGTAAGTGTTAAGCCTTCATTTATAAATTTTAGACGTGAATTTATATCAATGTTTTCACGCACACAAGTCATTAAATAAACACTTCCCAGTGGAAATCTAAAAGATTTAAACATCAAGCAGTTACATGCTTAAAAAAAATAACTATAATGATATCTCTTCTTTCCAATGTTTAATACCTGTAAAAGTATTCATTTGACATTGTGGGTTACGTATAATGCGAAAAGATGCCTTGCAGCTTAAGAATGGCTAGGAGAATTTCGACGCGGCCATCAGGGCCGCGGTAGCATAATTGGTCAGTGCATTCGCCCGGATTGCGAAGGGTGCGGGTTCGAGTTCCGTCTGCTGCCTGGTCCGCGTGGATTTTTTTCTAGTTATATTTTCTTTAGATTTAAACATCAAGCAGTTAAATGTTTAAAACTAAAAAAAAATATAACTTCTCAGTGGGTTTAAACGTAGATATATTCATAAAAGTATTAAAACGCACTTTGTACCCCTTGAAAAGTGTTAAGACGTGATATTATTTATACCTAATAGATAAGGAAAACTCTCATGCTGCTTTTTACTGTTTCGACTCTGGCGAAATTTAATACGCCCTAGACTTCTAGGGGGTTCTCCACAGAACACAGAAAGAGGTTAGAAGAGGGATTATAAACCGTAAGTACGGTAACCACGTTTGCACCGCCAATCAACAAAAAGAGAAGCTTTTTGTAACAATCCATCTTTGTCGCCAACGATATCATTACACCGCTCCAATTAATTACAAAGCACTGTTCACGCGCACAGTTCAACAAGAAAACAAAACCAAAACATAATCGTTATGGACAGGTAGATAGGATACCGACCTAGTGGTATAACTCAAAAGTTAGCAGGGGGCAATTTGGCCGACTCACGACCGCTGCAAATGGAGTTATTAGCGCAATTTACGATAGTTAACTACCTACCTACTGGCGGATAGAGCGGTGCGACTAAACTAATAACACCTAAGCTATATCAATAAAAGCCATTAGCATCGATCAGCGTGAGTATCTGGCGGGCGTTACTTCAAATTAGAGTTAAACGGGCAGTGTTAGGCGACAGCAATAACGGAGAGAATGTTGTGCTCTTCAGTTGAAAACAGCTGTCCTGTAAAATAGACAACAGATTTTTTTTTGTTGAAGTTCTCCCGTTTTAGGGAAGGCAAAGGGAACAATGCCCATACAGCCTAGTCTTTAATTAAATTAATCTTCTTTTTCTTTTTACATTAGAATGTCGGTGTGACGCATTCTAATGTTTCTTGGAGTGTTTGGCACGAAATGTATCGAGTTGGCTTTTTCGATAAGCTTCTGTGAGGTAGTCAACACTACAATAAAATTCTCACGTCCACTTGACCGGAATAGCGTATATTTTAACGATTCCACTAATTCTTCAGTTACGCAGACGGTTGTAACACAAAACCACACCAATTTTATTCCACAATATCCACTATGAACAAATTTAAGAATAATTAAAATAAGACGCCAACCGCACTCGATGAAATCCCGCCAAAAACTCCAACAGTTTTTTTTAAATAAAGAATCATCGACATTGTAGGTATGTAGGTAGGTGATTGTTGCTTTGGACAACGATTTTCTTGCTTTTGGAGAATATTAAGTAAACAATTTGATTATATTAAAAATAGAAAACTCAACTGGTTTATAGCAATACCTTCAAACCAATTAGTTTCCATATTTGATTTTATGTTGTATTAAATGAAATTAAATTGAGTTGACTTTATTCAAATTTATTTATTTTAACTTATTTTGAATAAATTATTACTTATTTACATCTTTTAGCTAATTAATAATAAATAGGAGTTGCAAGAAAGTCATCAGAATTTAACAGAGCTATCTCTTATACAGCAAATTTTATATAGAAGACAAGGTTCAATTATAATTAATTAATAATATTATATTAGCGTCCAGAAAGTTCGAAGTTTTCAAATTCGGACTTTTGCTTCACTTCTTAGGCAGGAGTACCTGGATACCAGTCGGGACCTCTTCTCTTGTGAAAATGTAATTATTGCCCATTGAAGCCTTAGGAGAGATAATACTTCGGGGGATTTGATTTTAAAAGTGATAGAATTATGTTTTAACATGATGTTGTTTTTGATTTCAATAAAGATTTTTTATGCAAGTTTTGGTCCCAGAAGAAATAAACTTGCTTTTTAAGACAAGTAACGCCACCTACCACTGAGTAGCATAATAAAATAAATAAGTAAAAGCATGCGTTGGTAGTTAGCGCCATCTGCTGAGGAGTAGATTATTTAAAGACTAAAAGTATTTCGATTTAATTCATTCACTCATTTCTGTCTGTCCATTCAGTTTTCAGTCTTTGAGGTGGGTTACACGATCAGTTTGGCATCAGTCAGTCCATCAGTCTGGTAAGACTGACGCCAGCTGATCGTGTAACGCTTTGACTGATGGACAGATAGGTCGGACTAACAGAATTTTAAATATATTGATATTTTACATCAGTCCCGGACGGACTGATGTAAAACTGATCGTGTAACACGTTGCCGTCAGTCTCCCGTCAATTACCGCTCGGACAGCGATGGATGAACACAGCAAAAATGCGTACGCGACGCCTGCGCCTATGGTCTCCCCGCCACGAAGTCCCGGGACGACCCGGGACCTAAATACTTTGAATAATAACATTTGTATTGAGTTAATTTCTGGTAAAACGTTTTAATAAAAAGGCACTTTTTAGTAAAAATCTATATTTATTAAACACAAAATAAAATCCTAATAATTAAATTTTTAGTATTGGTATGTTTATTTCTTACAATCACATAATCACTTTTGTACAATTAAATCCTATAGTTATAATCTTAGTAACAATCATACTAATGCTTAATAACTATTATATAATATTTAGTATTTGTTCCTAAAGATAACATTCGTAATTCTCATAATCACAGATTTATTTCGTAATAAAATAATCAAAATAAAAAACAGACAAATCAGTCTTATACATAAATTAACAAATTAAAATTAGACTTCAGAAATTAAAATCATAATCCAAACGTCAAAGAAGAAACAGCGGCGCGCGCAGTCGGCGCGGCAAACGCATTTATTATGTTGTGTGTAGTAGTTTTTTATATTGATCCATGGCTTTTCACGTAATACGTCCACATGCGACTATGTTCTTGGGAAGACTGTCACATCATCACATGACTATCATCAGTCTAGACTAACTGTAATCTGGCTATCAGTTCATCAGTCTGCTATCAATCTGGACTGATGGACTGATCGTGTAACCCACCTCTTTCGTTCACCTACTCCTACTTCACAACAAAATGTCAATGTCAGTTTGAGTGCTAGCGTGACTAGCGTGGTTAATGTGAAAAATGAAAGTCTAAAACTTTGTAAACAATAGTTAAAAAGAAACGATCTGTTTCCTTTAATTTGTTACTTATAGACAGATTCGTGGAGTGTCTGAAATTTGTTCAAAATGTAAGCAGATTTCAATATTATTACGTATTATTTATGGTGTAAAAATGAAAATTTTTGCTAAGTAAACGTATTTATTGCAATTATAACAAAATCATTTTTTTTTGTATTTAGGAGTTTCGTAGACCTAGCGACATTGACTCTCCATCGCAGAAATGAGCTCGAAGCAAGAACAAAAGTATTTCTAAGTAAATGTGACCAAGCCATTGATGATATTCAAAAGTTGAAAGTTCAGGTAGGTACCCAAACTTTTTTTCTTTACCCTCTGATTACTTTCTATAGTTCTATCAAAATAAAATCTTGTCAAACAGTATACTACATATTATATATAATTTAAAGGCAAGAGAATCTCTTAGAGAAAAATTTAAAGAAATTAATATTTTAACACTGGCATCGCAATACATCTATGAAAATATAATATATGTAAGAAGAAACTATGACGCATTTGCAAAAAAAAGTCAAACCCATAACTTAAACACGAGATTTAAGAACAAGCTTGCCGTTCCATGTTTCAGACTCCAAAAATCAAGAGGTTCATTTCTGGGATGTAGTATTGCATTGTTTAACAAAGTTCCCCAAGATCTGATTGAGCTTCCACTAACCAAATTTAAATCTCAGATTAAGAATACTCTTATGAATAAGGGCTATTATAAAGTTAATGATTATCTAAATGATCGTAATGCATGGACATAGTGTTTCTTGTAATTTCTTATTTGATGGGTATGAGTCAGTTTTGTAACAGTAGTATGGTACCTATCTAATGCCGCTTCCTATATATACTAAATATAAAATTTGTTGTAACTATATATCTATACCCTAAATAATGTAATGGAAGGTGACTTCAGAAGTATGTCTGAAGTCATTTTTCAACTTGACGACTCTGTATATATCAATACAGGGAGAAAAAAGCAGCCCTTGCTGAGTTTCTTGCCGGTTCTTCTCAGTACAAGGTCTCCCGCCGTAGTTTTGCGAACCGATGGCGTAGCTTCTTGACTTTCACAAGTGCTTGTAACAGCCTAGACTGAATAAATGACTTTTCATTTCATTTCATTTCATTTCATATACGAAAAAAAATGTAACTAAATAATCAAGTAGTGAATCAACAGCATAAAAAATATATGATATGTTTTACTAAATACACATTTTTGTAAATACAGAATCACATAAAGTAATATTTTCCTTTTTAAATGTAGCAGCAACAACGTTAAATATGCAGATTAGAAAATGAATAACTCATCTGAGTAAATAATTTTTTTTCAGGCACAAAGTTTTGCATCAAAGCTAAACTGTGAGCCATCGGAGCTAAAAGAAAGATTCCTTAAATGCATGGAGCAACTCGATGAATACATGTACCTCATTACTGATTTCAACTTATCTGTCAACACACTTGGTAAACATTATACATACATTATACTCTTTTTAAGATGCAAACTTGATGATGGCTGTGACGCTAGCATAAATCACAGCATAGTAAATAAAAAATTTCTACCTACCTAAGTGTGGTGGGTCCACCTGACTACTTGCAGTTTAATAGTAGTGCTACCTGTTGACTTATCAAAGGGCCATTAAGTTTGGATATAAATATTTTTATAGAATTAGAGGAGCCTTGCGGTTTCACCTACATTAATTTGGGGAAAAATCTTGTATTGGGTCACTCTCAAAAGATATACATAATGTTGTAGTGGACTATTTTATAGAACTTTTAAAGAGGAACAATTCTACTATACAAGGAAACCTTAATATAAAAAATAAAATAAAATTTATTTTTATTTTATTTTATAGTATATAGCCTTCCTCGATAAATACACTATTAAACACAAAAATAATTTTCCAAATCAGATCAGTAGTTTGTGCCTATTCTACCAAACAACAGATATACATACACCTCAGCTTTATAAAAGACATAAAAATAATAATAAAATCATTTATTTTCACTGCAAATTACAAGTGTTCCCTTGAAACAATCAGTAGATGCATTAATTGAATTTTGTTTGTAATGTCAAGAGGTAATTGTTGATATCTGTAATATTAAAGGCTCTATCACAGCTGCCAGCGCCAAATAGAATAGATTATAAGTGAAGTATTATTTTTAATGAAAAAACAAAAATACTAAATTACATTCTTATTTTAGAAGTTGATCACTAAATTGTCATAATTAAGGTAACAAATTGTTTCATCTTAATTAAACATTCTTGTCTAAATGAGGAATTTAATTAAAAGTGATTATCAAGTTTACATGCCATAATAATTAATGAATTTCTTTTTCCAAGAATACAACTAATTGTTCTAAATATTTGATACACTTTCACTTGTGTATGTTTGCTCATAATTAGCATATACAATATCAAAAAGAACTATTTAATTCTATTAATTAACTTTCACCAACATTCAACTCTGCTGCTTTCTTAATGGTAGTTCATTCTTAATAAACTATTGATTAAGAAATTTAAATATGTTTTTATCATTGTTTCTGCAATGACTACACATTTTTAAAGAGAAGTATTCTGCTAAAACATTGATAACATCTTTTATACTTATTATAAATGTGATGCACTAGATACTTTGACCATAATTTAAGTGATTTAATGGTGTCGATTCTGACATGATTATCTAAACCTAAACTTAAATTTGACAACAGTGTATCCTTGTCGTTCAATATACAGAATGAAAAGGAGAGGCTGATGTTAAATATAGTTTTAAGTTTAGAGTATCATGCCAGAATCAACAACAATGTTGCAATAAAAAATTGGTTTTCCAAGAAAAAAAGGAGTCTTACCATTAAATGCCTTAATTATAATTTTGATAGTTAGCTTTAACCTTTTTCCTCCTACTGTAGGCTACATTGTGATGTCAAATGACTTATTTTAACATAAATACTTGCTACTAGCCCGCGTTTGCAAACTGTAAAAATCAGTTGTTAGCTGTTTTTTTTATTATTATCTTATCTTTATTTTTTTTATATTTTCATATAATAATTAATGTCTCGAGAGATCTGTTAACAAAAGAACTACTGATGTTGGATATCAAACAGTATTTAATAAAAACAGTTATTGGACCTGATGCCTGAAACAAGTTTTTTTACTCTAATGCATAATGAATCACAATACAAATATTTACTTTTGTGAATTTATATACATAATTGGTTACACTTATTTTGTAGAAGAAATAAACACAACTGAGATTGCTCCAGTTCATGACAGTACTACAAAAACTCCCCTCCCGACGCCTCGGAGCTGCCCCATCAACCTAATAGATGTCTTAAGCGAGCCACTGCCCTCCACATCCACTGCTTGCTCCAATCATTGCCCATCAGAGAAACCTAAAAGGCTTAAGGTACCCAAAGAAGACCAGCTGCTGATAGCATTCTCTAGTACATCTTGCTCTTCAGAGAGTGTGCCACAGGATAAAATCGAAATGCGAACCAAAGAGGTGCAATGTGAAATCACTGCTGATATGAACAGCTTGAAAATTAAAGGTAAGATTTTTTAGAACTTTAGAATTGTACTTACAAGTTTTTATATTCAGGACTAATTTAACCAATTCAAAACTCATCTAAAGGCCAGTTCCAACAGCAGTTTGTTTTTTAAATATGTAACCCATATAAAATATAGGGGTCGGCAGAATTTGCCATCTGGCTTATCAAAGCAAAGGCGAAGCAATGTAATACCCCTTCCACACGACACAATTTGATTGCCAATCTGATTGCCGATTGAATTGGGTACAATCTGGTCGTCCGTATACACGTACACAACGAGATCGCCAATTTCAGTTTTATTTGTTGCCTCTGCTGAACGGACTTGTTTGTATTAGGATGCCTCTTACCAAGAAGCAAAAAATTGGATTAATCTTGGCTCTAACTACAAATGTAGATGAGAAAAAAAGAAAAAGAAGACTGGACAAAACAATGGTTATTAAAAAGAAAGCATTTGAGGCACTTAAATGTAGTTATATTATATTTAAGTGACTCTATTAATAAACTTAAATATAGTTATACTTAAAGAGTAATATTTTTAAAGAAAATATACTAGAAAAAATTCCACGCTAACCAGGCAGCAGACGGGACTCGAACCCGCACCCTTCGAAAACCCTTTAAAATATAACTGAGTTATATTTTCTTTAGATTTAAACATCAAGCAGTTACATGCTTTAAAAATAATAAAAAATATAACTATAATTGCTATTTCTTCTTTCAAATGTTTAATACTTGTAAAAGTATTCATTTGACATTGTGGGTTACCTATAATGCGAAGAGATGGCGCTGCCTTGCAACTTAAGAATGGCTGGAAGAATTTCGACGCGGTCCGTGAGGGCCGCGGTAGCATAATTGGTCAGTGCATTCGCCCGGATTGCGAAGGGTGCGGGTTCGAGTCCCGTCTGCTGCCTGGTCCGCGTGGATTTTTTTCGAGTTATATTTTCATTAGATTTAAACATCAAGCAATTACATGCTTAAAAAATAAAAATTATAAAAAAATATATATAATATTATTTCTTTTTTACCCTAGCATGCGCGCATATCATTGAGTAGAATATAAATTTAATTAACTGATTTTTTTTTTTATTTTCAATAACAAATAACTGCCTGGTCCGCGTGGAATTTTTTCTAGTTATATTTTCTTTAGATTTAAACATCAAGCAGTTACATGCTTTAAAAATAATAAAAATTATAACAGTAATATTTTTAACAATATTTTTCCACTTATTCCGCAAAATCTCTAAGGAATTATGCCTTGCTTGTTTATTTTTATATAATGGGTTAGACACATCCCAAAGGCATGGCAAGTCTTTACATATATCTAAATCTCCTCCATTACTTCCCGTTCAGATCGAATAGACATAATATTGTCGTCATGTTGCTCCATCTTCTTCTCAAAAGACAAGTCAACGCACACACCCGCTCTGAACGCCACTTGCACAGTGACTACGTTAAAAAATTGGCCAGTTAGCGTCCACACCATCCAATTTGATTGGGCAATTCCGAATCGGGCGATACCGACCATCCAATGACCTTCAATTTCATAATTCCGTCCACACAACACAATTTGATTGTCAATCTAATCAAATTGGATGTAAAATTGTATCGTATGGATGCCACTTAATATGAACGACAAAACGATCGCGTACTTTTGTCGGGCCCGCAGCGGGTCAAGTCGCAACGCAAAAATCCGCTCAAATCGTTCATTTGTATTTCATATGAACTATCACAACTATTCGAAGGGAGAGCCTTCGAATGTCAGCGCAGTACTGCTTGCCGTCGCCCGCGCACGGACCCTCCCGCATTCGTTTTGTAGTTTATTGGGTAAAATTAATTTTCGTCAAAACTAACTATTATTTTTGGGTAAAAGTTGCCTAGTTTAAAGATACACGATATACGCAATTTTAAGGTGGAAAGCAGCCTGTAGTGTTTGTTTTTAAACAGAGCGTGACACTGACACACGTAGGACAGCTGTTTTGTCTATGATAGCGAACCGCTTACGTCGGCGTAGCTGTCAAACTTCATTGATTGGGTTGGTAGCCTTGAGGGAAGAGTCGATTTTTCTATTCGACTAAAATATTCGACTTGAGACTTATAAAAAAAAAAAAAAGTAATCAGGCAGTGAATCTCTGTGGGGGCGCGTGGAGGAATGGATGGAGTTTGACAGTTGTTGAATTTTGAATAGTTTTTCCCAGATCGATTAAAAACAGCACCCGATAAGGAGGACTCAAATCGATCTGGGAAAAACTATTCAAAATTCAACAACTGTCAAACTCCATCCATTCCTCCACGCGCCCCCACAGAGATTCACTGCCTGATTACTTTTTTTTTTTTTTTTTTTTATAAGTCTCACGTCGAATATTTTAGTCGAATAGAAAAATCGACTCTTCCCTCAAGGCTACCAACCCAATCAATGAAGTTTGACAGCTACGCCGACGTAAGCGGTTCGCTATCATAGACAAAACAGCTGTCCTACGTGTGTCAGTGTCACGCTCTGTTTAAAAACAAACACTACAAGCCTCATATCGATTTTTTTCATAGAGTATTTATTACTTCTCGAAAATTTTAAATGCCCATATTAGAGTACATTTATATGAATGCTTAATATATATTTTTTCTGGAACATTCTGTTTACACATTTTGGAGTTAAAGATCCTCAAAGGTAACCTTTTCACGGGTGTACTCGCCTTAAGCATTTTGCGTGCGCTGCGGCCCGCTCCGCCCCGCCGTGCCCCAACATAATGTGCCCGAGCCTTAAGACTACCAAACCAGGCTGAACACTAAACCAATGATAAAAAAAGTTTTTGATGTCAATATTCTTGATTTTAGCTCCTCAAACACCAATCAGAGATTTAGAATCATGCAATCTGCCAGCGCAGAAGATTTTGCTGACCGATCACTTATACAAGGCTACTATCATGAGCATCGACGGGGCCTCCTTTTGGGTTATCACTGACAACGTTGACGAAGTCTGTGGGTATGTATTTGGCAATTTTGTTTTTATGAACTTTCTTAGTAAGTTCATTTTAGAACAGATAACACACAAAATAGATAATAAATTTGTAAATAACAGAATTTCATATGATATTTAAAAATACTGTCCTTACTCAAAATAGATAAACATACTTGAAAATCTCTAAGTCTACTTTATGACGCATGTTTGCAAAACATATCCTTTTAAAGTAGTTTTACTAATAATATAATCAAAGAAACTTCAGTTATAAATAGCTTTTTTCGCATATAGCCTTCACTCTATTTCAACACCAGGTCTATAGCTACAAACTAATCGACTCTACTACTAAACTAACAAACACATCTTGATTGATATTCTAAATAAAATATCCTCCTATAATTTTGTTATTAATTAAACTTCATATTGTTTCAGACTCATGAAAGACATGACGGAATTCTACAAGAGTACACATTTCGACTTGACACTGGATGAGATATCCATGCTGAGCTACTGTGCGTTTTGTGATGAAGACTGTTTCTACAGAGCATTCTTCATTAAGCTTATTGAGGTCAGTAACACATTCTTTTTTTAGTTTTTCTTTTCTATTACACTGGCTAAAGCTGACTTCGACAATTTTTTTAATGTAAAAATGGTGGTTACGTGCATATATCTACCATAATAAGTAGTTTATTTCATTTCACATAGAATTATTGCTTTCGCATACATAATTTAACATTATGGATTTATACACTTTTAAACTTTCGCGTTGCATTCATTATAAATATAATATTTAATGGGCTAAAAACACAAAACAATATAATTAAGATGAGAGTTCCGCAGGGCTCAATCTTTGGTCCTTTCTTATTTTTAGAAACATTTAAGAAACTCATTTCGGTAAACAGTGTATAATTCAAAATTCGTTCATTCAAAGATGTCCTATTTTATTTGTTTCTTAGGTTTTCACGCACATCACTCATTAAATAAAACTAGTTTTTACGGGTTAATGCACGAAACTTTATTTATTTATTGACGTTTCGCAGCCTTTTCAGGTCTGCATCGTCAGAATAATGATTTTTTATTTAAAATTGTCGAGCTACCTTCGAAAGACTTATATTGAGCGTTCGGTTATTTCATTGGAAGATTTTTAAAATTTTATTGTCTATGTATGAATTTATTATTTAATTTACTTAATAAAGTATTTTATTTAAAATTCTTGTTTGTAATTTTGAGTTTATTTATTTGACCCTAACTACCGTAAACTACCACCGGTTCCAAAATTGGGAGACCTTCCTGAGAAGAACCGGCGAAACAAACTCAAGAGAGGCTTTCTATCTCCTTCTTATGTTAAATTATGCAAACAAAAAGAACTAATAGTATCTGATGGTCTTGCAGTGTGTGCTCGGGGTTGGGATTTTATCTCCGCCCGCATAAGCCGCGTTGATGTGCTCAAATTCTGCTTTGACAAAGTAGCTTTGTTATCGGTTGTTGTTAAATAAATAGTTAAGGGCAGCTCCCATACAACAAACGTGCTTTATTTCCGTTTTTAGTTCGATATTAATTATTAGTGGCTAATGTTGTATATAAAATGGTACGGAAATCCTCGTATACGAGTTCGACTCACACTTGGCCGGTTTTACATTAGGCACCATTTTGTTTCGTTCTTTCACATCAAAGTTGGCTTGAATAGTTCCAAGCCGACTTTGATTGGACGTCAACATCAAAGTGTGCTATGATTACTGTTTTACACGATCGAAGGAACCCCTCGACCTCACCTCACACACACCGCGGAACGTTAAACTAACTTGTGACAACGTGACATGACGTCACACTTTTTCGTTCATACAGCCGGTGTTCATCGATTCACGTCAAAAAAATACCGTAGGACTGGTGCCCGCGCAACTAGCTTCGTATAAGTTTGAATCGCTTTATACTTTCGGTGTCTTTTATACTAGGAGGAAGAGGAAATGCTGGCGGAGGTTTTCCTCGTGGACACGGGCGAGGTTCGCACGGGGCTAGTGACCAACGTTCAACCGCTCGAGCCGCAGTTCTGCACCCGCCCGCCTTATGCACGGTGCTGCCATCTAGCAGGGGTGAGCAATAATAACCTTCTGCTTTTATACTAGGAATGAAGGTAACATTTGCGGAGGTTTCCTCATGGACACGGGTGAAGTTCGCACTCGGCCCGTGACCAACGTTCAACCTCTCGAGCCGCAGTTTTGCACCCGTCCGCCTTATGCATCTAGCAGAGGTGAGCAATAATAAACTTGTACTTTTACACTAAGAAAAGAAGGTAAAAAATGTTCACAGACGCGTATCTCAAACGGAAGAAACTCGCGCTTGCTGTAGCGAACTACGCGAACTAGAACGATATTTCGAATCGTGTCCGTGAGTGGTGTCTATCTGTGCGTTGTTCGGACGGACTTTGTATGTATACTACCTTCTGTTATGTGTATTTTGTGCTCTCGAGCCGCAGTTCGTCCTAACGCTCGAAGCGGTCATCTAGCAGGGGTTAACACCGCTTAGGTAAATTATAATAGTTATACTAGGTGCTTTTTTGAATTTATAATTTGTGTACGGTTAATTAAGTTTGTGAAGTATGCAATTTTGTATTTATGATATATTTTTAAAGTAAATCTACAAAATGTATTGTTTTATTAAAGCTAATATTAACTTATGAGATTTTTCAGATAGCATAATTACGAATTGACTATTCAAATACAGTTTTTCAAAAGTACTTTCAGGCAAATTTTAATAATTCTTCCTTTTTTTAGTGTTGATTTTAAATAACTTTCCCCTTTGGAGCAGTCTTCTACAATGGACAGGAGGCGAGAGAGTGAAGTAAAATATTGAATGCTTCAGCAATAACATCTTTTCCGAACGAGACGTAGACTGAAATTCATCTTTTTGCAAATTTGCGGTGCACTCTATAAATAAATTAAATGCATGCAATGCAACTTTCTTTTTAGTTAAATTATAGAGCACTACTCTCTGTAGTGTATATCTTGTGATTAGTTTATTTATATCTATATGTTTTGGGATTAATGCTATACAGGCAAAGCCGGTCACAATCACTTTTAGGTGATTTTCCCTTAGGTAGATTTTCTATAGATGAAAGAAACCCGTATACTACGTTCGAGATAGAATGCAATCCATTATAGCCGTAATGTAAAAAGCTAAAGTTTTATATTGATTTTAGCGTAAAAATATGATTTCTGATGTCTTTTCTGTGTTATTAGATGGACATGATGCCATGTAATATGTATATGTATGTTAAGTATTTATGTGAGTATTACATATATATATATACTCGTATATAATGAATGTCGGTTCGAAAGCAGGGGCGTTCAAATACTAGTCCGCGAGTACTGTTGTGCTGGCTTGCGGAGGCTATCAAGTGGTACTGCGAAATGAAGGCAAGTTCGCAATTACGATGGCTATAGTCTAGTCTAATTGAGAATATTTTAAAATAAACATAATTTAGTTTGGATTAAATTGGGTAAGTTTTGCTTTAGACATGGTTATACATAGACTGGGCACATTTTCCTTTAAAATCGATGGTTAAAATGTAGATTGATTTCGGTTATAATTAGTTAGATATGTATATACATATGTGTGAAGTTTTTTTAATTTTATAGTAATATGAGTGAGTAGTAGTGGGTAGCGCGTTTAGGTCGTGTTTGGTAAAGTTTTGCAATTATAGGGAAGGGTGACATACATTTTCATTATATATCGATTTCCTCATTGCTTCGCATGGCATATTGATCCAGTAATCCTTTACGAGCAGTTATTAACATCCAACAATCCTTAGTGGGCCCGCATTGTGCGTCGCATACGGTTTGGCCGTCCTCAAGGCCTACCGCCTATCGGGATCGCTATGGCTATAGCTATAGTTTAGGTTACCGCCGAAGGTTTTCAATTGCCTCACGCTCATTTCACACGGATATACATGTGAAATCACATGTAACTATCATTTTAGTACAACCGGACACTCTCACTCTCATAAACATACACACATGCACATACAGATACACACGCATATACAGACTCACACACACACACATATATACAAACACACACACACATACATAATTTTTATCTTTAAGTAAATGGTAAGATATGAACTGTAATTTTTATTTATGTATTATGGAACACACGTCTCTGTATCTGGAGGTGGGCGCTAATAGCTGTAACACAGTTCTAGAAACTAATATAGCTATTAACGAACCTAATTATACATGTAACCTTAATTAGTTCCAATAAATATATTTTCATGTCATTTTCATTTTCATTTCCTTAATACTGTTATTACCAATCCAAAAGAAAAAAAAATGCTAAAGCCATAGCAAGCCCGATAGGCGGCAGACCCATAGAGGTATAACAATAGAGTGGGGAAAGCGGCTCGAAAAGTGTCCGTCTCGTAGAAAGAGAAAGAAGATGAGAGAGCGCTAGCTATCTCTCTCTCTTGTGATGCATGCGCAGTCGTCTGTCCAATAGTTGGTCCAAGCATCACATCGAAATAGTAAGATGCTTACGGTTGACAATGCGCATGCGCGATTAGAGAGAGAAAGCTAGCGGTCTCTCATCTTCTATCTCTTTCTATTAGAGGGACACTTCCACTTGTAGTAGAGTCTATATCTCCCCTACTCTATTCTTATACCTCTATGGGTAGGCCCCCTGATAGTCTGCTGTCAGTGGGAACAACTAGGTCGATAATCATTTACGTGATCTAAATATCTGCATCATATACTAGAGTAATAAGGACTTTTTATTTTCAGATTGACATGTTAAGCTATCAGAATAAGGAGTTGAGTGTGAAACAAGCTATTTTCATGAAGGAATACATGGGCATCAGCTGCACTATCGAAATTGATGACAAGTGAGTTTACTAGTGTTGTAGAACCATCAAAAGTGAACCTTGGAAGAAATTTAAAATAATTATCAGAAGTATCTGTGAAGTCATTTTTTAACTTGACGACTCTGTATATAACAATACAGGGAGAAAAAAACAGCCCTTGCTGAGTTTCTTGCCGGTCCTTCTCAGTACAAGGTCTCCCGCAGTAGTTTTACGAACCGATGGCGTAGCTTCTTAACCTTTACAAGTGATTGTAACAGCCTAGACTGAATAAATGATTTTGAATTTGATTTGGAACAAACTTTTTCTTATAAGAAAATGGCGCCACGTGCGTTTGGTGATGATTAAAAACTACATCTTGCGTCTCTGTTTCTTTTGTAGTATTAAATTGAGACAAATATGTTTATGAACGACACCGTCTTTCCGGACTTCCATGATAATTTATTTTCGTATTTTTCCCATGTTATTAGAAATACAATAAAATATTTCAGCAATATCTGGGTTAATATAGATACCTACTCATATAAATTGTTTACTCTTATCATTTTAAAATTATTTTTTTGTTTGTATAGATGACGTCACAAAGCGCTTGTTGAGACTTGAGGCTTTTGTTAAATAAATAAATTCTGATTTAAAAATAAACAGAAGCTGATTTTGAAAATTGTGTAGATTAAAAGCGCTTCAAAGGAGATTCGACCTAAATAAAAAAAAAACGTTAGGGATACGCACGCCGCCATGTATGATGCTCCATTGTATATTTTGTAATTTTGAACTTTCGAACAATGTATACAACCTCCGTAAATCTATTATTTGAGCAAATGTTGAAAATGTTTTTCACAGCACTTCTGAATCTCTGGGTGTATACGTGATACTGCCCTCAAAGGTCGTTTTAAACGACGTTCTTATAAAAGAAGGATTAGCGCTACCAAGTAAGTATACTCTGAAACTTTTATTTATTTAGAATAGATACTCCGCCTTTTCTGTTTGGACTAGTTGAAAAACGCGATCGCTTAACAAGCACGCCTTGAACTTCACTGCAATCTTCATATTGAGTGATCTTCTCGCTTTATACAGTTATATTGTATAATTAAAACTATTTTATACTAGATCTTAGTGCGGCATCAAGTTATTTCAATTAATTCCAGCAATTAATTTAAATAATACAGATATGATCATCCGACGTCAGACCGTGTAGCCGGCCGGCCGCTTTATTCCGATAAACACTAAAAATACGGTCATGCGCTGCAAAAAAATGAGCGCGATGTTTTTTTCTAATTGAATAGACGTTTTTGATGATATTGGCATGTAGGTACGTATGTGTTGGAATCGAGCACTAGGGGCGCAATGAGAACTTATCAGGAGCAAACTGAAAAAATAATAGTCCTGCCTGCGGTCTGGCCATTTAATTCTTGCGCCACCCTACTATTCTACGCCCTGTGTCTGGGCACTGGTGGCACCCGCCCTATTTACGGCACTGGTTGTGGGCTACTAATAATATAAATGTGATTCAATGACGCAAAATCGGCTGAACGGATTTTCATGAAATTTTACAGACACACAGTTTATAACCTGGATAGAGACATTACTTTTTAACCCGGAAAAGTGTAAAGTTCCAAAGAGATTTTCAAAAAAATTAAATTAAAGGGGACTAAGTCGCGGACGGCCGTTGGTCTAGATTTTCATATCTAAATATTTTTTGCGGGTGAATGTAGGTATTGACCGTCTCGGTAACATAGTGGTTTTGGCATTCGGCTTGATAGTGTTCGTTCTATTTAAGCATCAACACTAAAATTTTAGGAGAGGAACTCGATATCGCCGTGGTTAGTGACTTTTGTCTGTGATCGTGAAAGTTGAACAACTTTACTAAAGGCCGGTCATAGGATGGGTGACGAAAAATTATTATATTAATAATTGTTATAAATATTGTACTTACCCGTGCTTTGGAAGGCGCATTAAGCGATTGGTCCCGGCTGCATCTGTTGTCACTGCGCCCGCTGTGGCTGCGGGACTGCATCTCGCGTTGAATTGAATGTGAAGTAGACTATTTGACAGTATGTATAAAGTCCCAATTGTGGGTTCTATATTAAATATGAATATTAGCAGCGTTTTCACTATTCTAAGAGAAAAAATAATAACTTTTCTAAAATATCATCAAATAGAAATAATTTTATTGTACTATGGTCACATGACAGAAAACGCCTGGGACAGGCGGACACTAAAATGACGTTACACACTAGTAAACGTCCGGACAGATTGACATTACATTTTAGCGTTTAACATTTAAATGACAGTCGTGTGACGCCACATACTAGTGAGACCCCATAATGTCCAGAGAAACATTTCCGCGGCAATTTTAAAATGAATTTTTTGGTTTAGTTTTTTTTATTGAAATTCACAACAGAATGATGAATATCCACTTTTAATGGACTCCACAAACATTAGTAAATAACGTGAGTACGTTTCTAAAACTTGTGAATATCCTATTGTAGGTAAAACACAAAAGAAAAACTCACGGCGCGTTTTGGGCCCGCAGAAAACAGTGGTCTCGTGAGTTTTGAAATAAAAAAGTACTGCGGACGCGGGAAAATACCTTTCCGTGAGTTCTTAGCCTAAATGTATAAATTGATAGGATCTCCTCTTGAACTGATAAAGTAACACTAAGAAAAGAAGCTCTGCATTGAACAGTTGAATTTACCTTTTCGTTTTAGTTGACAAACCCAAGTCTGACTTACGGCAAATTGAAGGACCCCCCGAACTAATCAAGGAAGAAGATGATGAAATGGACATCGGCCAAAGCCCCGAGTTCGAAGACCCTGTAGAAGCTGTCACAGTGAGTACAGTAGTCGTACTGTACTATAATTACTATACTATTACTTCTATATACATATATATACTACTACAAGGCTCTTTACGAATGTGAGTGACAGTTCAGGGAGGGCACCACTGTCTACACAAGTGACCTTATATGACATACATAATATTTATGACATTTACAAAGACGGCGGCGTTAGTTCCAATTATCACCACATTCATAAAGATTCTTGGCGCACTATAGACAAGTTTGATAGTGTGGGTGTGTGATACGGCTTCCACACATGTGCAAATCTATAACTACGTTCAAATTTTCGCCGCTAAAGGCGTGGTTGTACGCTCCTTTGTACATATCAAAAACCCAACAGTCGAGCTATCGTGTCGTCACTGAGCCTGAAAGTTCGTTGCGATAGTCTCTAATGTCTTCCCACACTTGCGTTTATCGTTTTTATAAGCGAAGCGGCATTGCGTAGACGCAGGTGTGGGAGATGGATGAGACACACTCGATACACGAAATTCAATTTGTTTTATTACATCAATGTTATCTTCACACATCGGGACCAGAGACGACCTCCGTGACCGAGTGGTTTGTACGCCGGGTTTCATGGTGTCGCCGACTCGAGAGGTCCCGGGTTCGAATCCCGGTGGGGACAGATATTTGTGTGTGAATACGAGCATTTGTGCTCCAGTCATGGATGTTGAATATGTATATCTATATAAATATACTTATATATGTATTCTATACGCAAATAAGTGCGAGAGAAATAGTATTCGTCTATGTATTAGTTGTGTTCTGTCTTTTTCTTACAACTCTCGCAGTCTCTTCTGTACATGTCTATGATCGAATCAAATAAAATCTCTTATTTTTTCTACTTTACGATACGTACTTTACGAAATTTGCCGTTTTGGAAATTTTTATTTCAACCTATATTTTGTCGATTTCTTGTAACACTGCATAATAAAACATTTTTTTTCGTCTGTAATACTAGAATACTAAGTTATTTATATGTATAGTACTGATTACTTTAGAGATTCTATGGATCTGATGTTCATTTGGATAAAAATCTTATGATAATAGTCCATAAACTTGCTCATAGTGTGTAGGAGTCATATTAAAGGTGTTTTTGATATAATTAAGTATATTACTTATTCATACACTTGTTTTTCTTTTTAAATTTAATTTTGTATATACTTAATCTCTAATATATAAAAATCTCGTGCCACGATGTGCGTAATTGAACTACTCCGAAAAGGCTCGATCGATTTTCGTAAAATTTTATATGCATATTCAGTGGGTCTGACAATCGGACAACATCTATTTTTTATCCCCCTAAATGTTAATAGTGTTGGATAATATATATTGAATTAATAAGTGTCCTCGACCTCTACCCATAAATAATACATTTACGTTTTTGTCTTATAACAGGGCTATTCCAACCGCGACGAAGCCGACATTTGTAAACACTACAAGGGTGGACCTGAAAAGACTTGCTTCAAAGGAACTAGGTGCAATAAGAAACATGTTCGCAAACATCCAGGTATGTTCCAAACTTCGGACATAATAAAAATATAAATTCATTATAGCTGTATCAAATTGAAGTCTATTGCTTCTAGAATGAAATTTGTTAGTGGTGCATTAGTTTGATAAATTTTTGGGTCTAAACTTCTCAATCACTATGACTTCTTAGCTAGTGGGTCCCGGCTGCATCTGCAGTCGTTAGCACCCGCCAATCCTCACTGGGCCCGCGTGGTGGGTCACGGCCCAATCTCCCTATTCCGTCCATAGGGAAGGCCCGTGTGGGGACATTAATAGGCTGATGGTGATGAATGAAAAATGACTCGTTCAATCGTTTCAGTTGTCAATAATTAATTCCATGAAATAATTTAGTTAACCTAGTTTGTCGTGTTCTGCGGAAGTTCTCACTCAATAAAAAACATTGTTAACATTTTTTGTATACTTCTGCGCACCAAATATTTATTTGCTTCGTTGAAAGTGTAATTCCTTAGTTTGTTTGCTGTTAACATAGAACATATGAATCTGCAAGTCGAAATTGTGACAGTTTAAACAGTCCATAGGTTCGTCCTCAAAAAGATAAATTAAAGATGTTCTTTTATTTGTTTTTATTGATTGTTCTTTTAACTCCTCCGTGCTTCGGAAGGCACGTTAAGCCGTTGGTCCCGGCTGCATCTGCAGTCGTTAGCACCCACCAATCCGCTCTGGGCCCGCGTGGTCGGTCATGGCCCAATCTCCCTATTCCATCCATAGAGAAGGCATGTGCCCCAGCAGTGGGGACATTAATAGGCTGATGATGTTTTTTTAAGTATTTAAATGCAAATAAACATTATTTCTATTATCTTTCAGACGGTTGGACTTTGGACCGAGTTGAAGTGCCTGTTAAGATAAGATCTTTGCCTCTACCCCCTCTGGATTCGTGGCATAGAGTTCTAGTCACCTACGTCTGCCACTTTGATCGACTCTACGTGCAATTCGTCAACAACGAGCAAGGTATGTCTTTATAATAATACAATAAGAATCAGTATCACAAACCGGCTTATTCTTAAACGCGGACTAAAGTTAGTCTTGGTTTAAACCTAATGTTGTCTCTGTCTTCTTTTTGGAAAACAAAAATGACAGCATCTTTTATAGTTCAGGTTAAATTAAAGTCTACGTTTTGTAATAAGGCGGTAAAAGAAAAAGGTTTAACTTTAAGGTACATTAACTTATTTCGAATCCATAAAATGCCTAGTAAACCTATAATGGGATAAAAAATCTGAATAATGTACAGCTGGACTGATACCTACAATGGTGTACCTATAGTCCGTTTTGAATAATCCCATGGCTTGTTCTTGTTCTATTGTTATTTGATAGAAAATCACAGCAACAACTTAAATCTAAGATATAAATGGTTGTCTGTAAAGTCAATTTACGGACGACAATTATACGTGATAACTTGTCGTTCACTGTTTTTCTTAGGGCAGTTTTGTGGGGCTTTTTGTTCCGGTTCGTTTAGGTTTAAGTACACCTTTGTAGCTCTATAAGGGCCTGAGTTAAGCTCCTCGGGGGTGAGGTACTCTTCGAGGAGGAGGGTGGTCGAAGGAACCCATTGGGGATAACCTAACCTCACACACACCGCGGAACGTTGAACTAACGTGACATGACGTCATACTTTTTCGTGCGTGCACCCGGTGTTTATCGATTTATAAGACGTTATCACGTTAAAAGTGACGACCTTCGTGGCCGAGTGTTTGTGCGTCGGGTTTCAATGGGGTTCGAAACCCGGTAGGGGCAGATTTCTGTGTGATGTATTAGTCACACAAAAATCTGCAGCATTTGTACTCCAGTTATGGACGTTTAATATGTATCTCTATATAAATCTTGTTATGTATCAGGATATGTATTATATCCGTTACCTTAGTATCCCATAACACAAGCCTATAGTTCTTACTTTGGGGCTAGGCTGACTGGTGTGAGTGTAGGAAATATAATACAACGTTCAACACGTTTGCTCAATATATTAATTTACGGAGGTTGTATACATTGTTCGAAAGTTTAAAATTACGGACTATACAACGGAGCGTGCGGTAAAATATTTTACCGCACGCTTCCATACATGGCGGCGTGCGTAACCTTTACGTTTTTTTTAAATTTCAGTCGAACCTCCTTGGAAGCGCTTTTAATCTATACATTTGTCTCAATTTAATACTAAAAATAAACAGCGACGAAAGATGTTGTTCCAATTTTCACCACGCGCACGTGGCGCCATTTGGTATTGGTAATGCGCATCATTTACAGTTATATTACTACTATCTATACTGTTTTCTCGCAAATGTGTTGAAAAATATTGTATGACATTCGTGCGGAATTGGTTTTGAGAAACTCGTGACTATGGTAACCCCTTGATTTTTACTCGTTTGTAATAACTAACTTACCGTACTAATATAATAAATAACTACATTTTTTTATTTATTGGCGTTTGTAATCGTTGTTTCGTCCCCAGATGATCCAGTGCCCAGCTTCGGTATAATACTGCCGCCGGCGACGCTGACGGCTCTTGTCCGCGATATGAACAGCCCCGCCTCCAGGATGGCGTACAAACAACTCACGGTACGTATAAGTATAAGTGACCGTAAAATTGTAAATAGATTATAAACTGTGGAAATATTATGAACCGTGTCACTTGCTTACAATCTTACACATAATTTTTTGGTTGATTATAATCTATCGAAGTGAAACTGTTAAATCACAATCTTACGCGCGATAAATTGTGAACTGTCCGGAGCTGTCCCTGATTGTTCAATCAGAATCAGACTTTTTTGGTTAATCACAGATTAATGTTATTTCCACAACAATTTCATATAGCAAATTTTTAAGCTGTAAGTTATTTTCAACACATAATCAAATTAAAATCATCACAACTCCAAACAAATATGGTGATGTGGTCACATGATGTTCAACCAATCAGCGCGCGGGCTTTGTTTTGTCGAATGCCATCTCTCAATTTCACGATTTTAAGTAAAATTGGGAAGCGAGGCGTCAACTACCCAGCAGTCTAACGGCGGTAAACTCGCTGACAGCGAGCTGTCTGCTAATTTATGTTGCCAATGCAAAGTGTGTATATAGAGCAATACTTAAAGACCATATTTGAATTATATTATTTTTGTCGGGTGGGAGCGAAGTCGTGTAAGTGGGCGAAAACCTAAATGTGCATAATTATAATGGTTTTCCGATTCAAAAAATAAATAAAAAATACGTGTAACACTCGGGGACTGCCGCGGTAAAGCTATTGCATAGCATTTTTATTAACTTATGCAATTATAATTATTTATATATTTTATTTTTTCATCACTTTCTTCATTAATAAATGCACTTTGTTTATTAATATTTAAAACACTCTATACACAAATTTACGCGTACAGCTATTCACTTTACACAAACTACTTACTTTCTCACAAACAGCTGCTAACGTATTCGTCCGATTTCGGAGCCGCTCGTCTCAATCCGTGCGAGCTTCGTACAGTCGTACCCTATACAAGCACGTTAAGGTTCAACTAGTCGCGGGCTCGAACTTACTCGTGGGGCGCGGCCAAAAAGCACGCTGTCTGCCCTAGCATTGTGTCTAAAAGAGAATCAGTTATGAACAGTTGTCAGCTAGTTTACACTCATATGTCTAGTCGCACGCACACAAACACCGTGTCGAAGTCTGCCGAACTGAAATGACGTTAGACGATACACGGCTTTTAACGCACCGCTGTGCCGGTCGGAGTGGGGGTGTTAGGTTTATTTTCGTTACGGGATTTCTTGATTCGGTCGCAGCGCACAAACCCCGCGATAAAAGCTATGCAATAGCTTAAAAATATTGCAACGTGTACACAAATTATGGTTATCACTAATATTGTGATGTTTGGTTTCAGATAAGCCCGGCTTTAGGCGAATTGGTGGCAGCGTTGTACCCGCTCGACAATCAGTGGTACCGCGCCCGAGTGTTGACTGTCTCTCGCTCTGACCAGAATATAGAGGTAATTGATAATGTACCCTTAACACGAACCTATATCGAATTCGTATTGTTTGCAAATACGAAATGTCATTGTCTTGCTTTTTAACCAGCAGAGTTTAGAGTATATTCTGTGTTTCTAAAATAGTTTCATGATCAGAAGGTTTAGTAGCTAAACGTCCAACAGCGCGAACGTCTAATGAGCAATAAGTCTAATTAGCAAAATGTGCAACTCTCAAATAGGCTGTATACCAGAATGTCTATTTAGCAAATCGTCACATTGTAAAAATGTCTAGATACTCAGGCCAGTGTTGCCAACTGTACGTCTTTTTACGTAGATCTACGTATTTTAGGCCTTTTCTGCTAACCTACTAACTTCAGTCCCAAAATCTACGTATTTTCTTTTAATTTGTACAAATTTGCAAAATAACATAACTCAGTAGAATAGGGAAGCATATTTTCCGTTAACTATACAAATGTTTATTTCTTATAGTTTTTGGTATGAGGAACTAAAATACATCGATTTCACTTCATAAATTCAGAATGACGTCACAAAATTTATAAACAACTAAACGTCATTGTTGTGTTACTATGGTTTCTTTCGTCGGACTAAAATATATCTAAAGACTCTTATATCTTGTAGAAGAGTTTCCGTTTATTGGTTTTGTTGACTAAATTAATACTGGACGCCGAATTTGTAAAAGCAGAAACGACAAAGCTCTCTTACTTAGTAGGTACATTAATAAACTTAAAAAAAATATTTTTAAACTTAAAATATTATTGAATCAGTACTTACACCGAAGTGATCTATGCAAAAAGAAATGACTTTCAGTCGATAAAGTTACAGGATTTAGCAAGTTTTAAACATGTGTTCATGTGTAGATATGTTTATTTCTCTGGGCAATTTAAACCACAACTTTTCTGGAGTATTTAACGTTGTGTTTCTACATTCTCGCTTAATACAATCATGATTATTTCTACAATACATTTTTTTCGGTCTAATATAACAATTATTAACCATTTAAAACATTTTTTCAAAAAGTGTCAACTAGCCTATTTGATAACAGTGTATTCTTGTCATTCTTTATACAGAATGAGAAGGAGAGACTGATGTTAAATTTAGTGCTAAGTTTAGAGAATTATGCCAAATTGACATCTAGCAGCGTCTGTGTCTGATGGTAAATGTCTACCACAGCATGGTAAATGCTGCCAATGTAGCGTCTTCTCCAAGAATTCTGTTCTATCTCCTTTTTTTAAATAAATTGTATAACAAAATACTCGTTTTAACGAACTAGCTTCTCTCAAAAAAAAAACGTAGATCTACGAACTTTTCATATGCAATTTTTACTAATTCTACGTAATTTTGTCATCGGGCCTACGCCTTTTTCAAAATCCGAGTTGGCAACACTGACTCAGGCACACAAATGAAATAAAATTTAAATTAAACTTTACTAGCTGTGCCCCGCGGTGTTACCCCCGGTTTATGAGGGATATTTTCCCGCAGTAAAACGTAGCGTATGTGTCAATTCCACTGCCATCCTTTGATAGTGGTTTATCTCTTCTTTCATTTGATATTTTCCCCTTTCACTAGATTTAAAAAACTTAGGACTCAACTTACTTACTTATATTTTGAGCGTATCGAAAAAATTCTCACTGTCTTAGATTACAAGGAACTTGACCTTCTTATGCTAATAATTTTAATTTTAAATAAATATACAGCAGATTATTTAAATTAGATAAAATGATGTTATGTATTTTCATTTTAAACGTTTTTTTAATCTGTAAAAATTAAAGAATACATTATATCAAAAACGCTCCGCGAAAGATGAAAGTGTAATCCTAAATGTCTGTGTCATCGTATCCCACTTTTTTTAAAGATGTGTCATTGTTATCACAGTGTTTAACCATCACCTTTTTTTACCAGGTCATGTACGTAGACTACGGCAACGTAGTATGGGTGAAAGAAGACCAGATCAGGGTTCTAGACCCGTGCTACTTATCACTGCCAACGCAGGCGGTGCGTTGTGTACTGGCCGGAGTGTTTGCCAAGACAACCTGCTCCAAGCAATGGGTGGAGGCAAAGACTGCCCTCGCGAGAATGGCTCAAGACAGGACACTGGACGCGCATATAGTGTGAGTAATTCATTTAATATACTAGACTTTGCAGCGGTGTAAGTAAAGGAATTCGACGTAAAAGAAACCCCTTTTTAATCGGAACACAGAAAATGGAACAGATAAGGACACTGGACGTGGATATAACGTGAGTTTTTATACAAGACTTTTCAGCAGTGTGAGTATAAGAACTCGTCGGTAAAGAATTCTGATGATTTATGATTCAATTGCAGCAAATAAAATGGTACAGGGAAAAACACTGGACGCGCGTATAGTGTCAGTTACTTTACTAGGCTTTGTAGCGTGTAAGTGAAGAAACTGGACGGAAAAAAAATGATGATTTATTTTTCAATTGGAGAGAAGAGAGGACACTAGACACGCATATAGCGTGAGTAACTATATAAGCCTGTAGCTAGCTATTTATCACTGCCAACGCAAGTGGTGAGCTGTGTACTGGCCGGAGAAGACAACTTGCTCCAAGCAATGGGTGGAGACAAAGACTGCCCTCGCGAGAATGGCTCAGGACAGGACACTGGACGGGCATATAGTGTGAATAATTCATTAAATATACTAGACTTTGCAGCCGTATAAGTATAGTAACTCTTCGGAAAATAAACACTCTTTAATCGGAGCAAAGAAAATGGCACAGGAAAAACACTAGACGCGCATATAATGAGAATTACTTAACTAGACTTTGCAACAGTGTAAGTATAGAAACTCGCCGGTAAAGAAATCTGATGATTCACTCTTCAATCGTAACACAGAAAATGGAACAGACAAGGACACTGGGCGCGCATATACTGTGAGTCACTATACTAGACTTTAGAATTTAGCAGCGGTTAGGTGTAGAAACTCGCCTCAGAAGAAAACTGATGATTCATTCTTCAATGAGAGCAAAAAAAAAAACTCATGATAGGACACTTGACGCGCATATAGAGTGAATATCTATAGTAGACTATTAAAGGAAAAGAGTAAGTACCAATCAGAGATAAGTTTTCCTGTCAATGGCCTGGGTAACAACGATTTCTAGACTTTTCTTTTGTAAGCTTTAATAAAGAAAGCGCTCCACTAAAGCATTTCTGTAAACAGAGGAAAGTCTTTGTAATAGTTCAAATATAGGTAGTAGCCGGGAAAGAAAAAAAATATGATCTTGTAATCGGAGCTGAAATTGAACAGGATACTGAACGAGCATATTATAGTGTGAGTAACCACTATACTAAACCAGTGGATACCATGTGTACTAAAACCACATGCTCGGAGCAATGGGTGGAGGCAAATATCACAAATAAAACCTACAGAGTCATTAATAAAGTGGAAACAACCCTAGTGAGTCAGACAAGATTAAGTAAGAAAGAGCGAAGCGATGACAGGTTCATGCGTCATGCTCGTGAACGGGTGCTGCCAGCGGAGATGAGTCTGTTCTTGCTACATTGGGTACTATTGATCGTTGTACTTAACTTTAATCGTTTTTTTTATGCCTAAACAGTAGGACACGGTATTCCTAAACTTTGTTAAACCAGTTTTTTTTATTTTTTCATTTTATAGTCATAATTTTTATATTATATACATTTGTAATGGAAAGTGACTTCATGAGTTACTTCATATTGAAGTCATTTATAGGGTTCCGCCTCAAAAGGAAAAAACGGAACCCTTGTAGGATCACTTTGTTTTCCGTCCATCCGTCCGTCTGTCAAAACCGTTTTTCTCAGGAACGCGTATAGGTATCAAACTGAAATTCATATCTAAAACTCAGGTCTACTGTCTCTTAGAGCTAATGCGAAAACTGTTAATTTTTAGTTACATCATATATTTTTTTTTTTTAATAATTATTAAATTATACCTACAGGTTTGTACGAAACCCTCGGGGCGCGAGTCCGTCGCACTTAGCCGGTTTTTTCAATTTCACGACTGTATATAATACAGAGAGAAAAAAACAGCCCTTGCTGAGTTTCTTGCCGGTTCTTCTCAGTACAAGGTCTCCCGTCGTAGATTTGCGAACCGATGGCGTAGCCTTTCGAGATTCACAAGTGCTTGTAACAGCGTAGACCGAATAAACGATATTGATTTTGATTTAATTATTTTCAAAAATGCCGCGTCCGAGCGAGTGTTAACGCGACGATGTCTGCTCGGGTCTTGATACGGTTGTCGCCAGATAGGTATGGGACACTATGGCGGTTTGTTAACTACACTGGCGCTAGCTACAGTGTTGGGGTCAGTACAAACATACAAACCGTGCTGATGAACAAGCTTACCGGCCCTCCTTCTAGCTACTTTTCATTTTGGGATCGCGAAATGCCACTTTAATTTTTCGACTTTTGCACGTATAACACGTGCCGTTAAAGAAACGAATCAAAAATGTCGACGCAAACCATTCTGTCTCTATCGCGCATTACTTGGTGAAGTATGTGCAGAGGGACAGATTTTTTTACGTCGTCATTTGCGATTCGTTTTTCTATTGGCGAAACACTATTTATTGGCGTGAGTTATACCGACTTCAATTTCAAACAAGGTATATGGTTCCAATCGCTTTAATAAATTTACATTTAAGTCTTATATTTATTTATTTCCTCGTTACCAGGGGTCGCGATTACGACGAGCTAATAGTGGAATTATTTGACGACGAAGGCTACAGCATAGCCGAGCAGCTCGCCGCACATGACGTTATCGAACTGAGAGAATACGTCATCAACGACGACACGAAGACCACGCACAAAATCGTCCCCGCATGAATGCGTGAGCGAAACTCATTCTGAATTCCGTACAAATCCATTTTAAAAACACTATAATCTGACAGTATGCTTAAAAGTTAAGATTTTTCTATGTCCCTTGGCCGAAAACTCTATTTTTCGATTCAAAGTATGTTTTTAATTCTGTGTAATTATAATTATTTCGTTATCATTCATCAGACATTGGATCTGACCTCCTGCTTCAAAGTTAAGATCAGCCACAAAGTAGATTTAAAATCAAGTATTGGGCCGATAGTAATAGGATTATGACGTCATCGAATACTCGTAACTGCTATTGTTTAATGTAAAAAAAATACATAGTAATTGAATATTCAAATCCGTTGGAATTCGGTACAAAACTATTTTAGCAAAACGCTATAGAATATTACTATTTCCGAAAGTTGTTGATCTGATCATTTATGCATTTATAAGTATTTATAACGAAAACAAAAATCACGCTATTTTGCAAAACAATGGTGTCGATTCTGGCGTGATTCTCTAAACTTAAAACTAAATTTAACATCAGTCTCTACTTTTCATTCTGTGTAGAGAATGTCAAGGATACACTGTTGTCAAATTTAAGTTAAGATTTATAGAATCGTGTCAGAATCGACACCATTGGTTAGGTAAAATAATTCCCAAACAAAACATTATTACTAGAGTCGAGTGCATTTATCACTAATCCAACAACTTATCCGCGATTTTCTTTCATTCTCATTTTGTTTACGTAAAACAACCTATGGATTACATTAAGGACGACATAACATAACTCACATCACATGCATGAATGTGATGTGACTGATGATTTGTTCAATAACTATAATTAGTCTCGAACAAATACCTAACAGTCTAACAATGACTAAATATTTTTATTTTCAGTGTGTAATGTCAGGTTCTTTTTACGTTGCAAATGTTATTTTTAGAGGCAAATTTATTATAGACTATTTTTGGGAGTGATTTAATTTGTTGACAAGTAACTTCGCAATAATTTTAATCAGAATATGCAAGTCGCGTTTTTGTTTTTTGTTCCTAGAAACTCGCTTCTTCAGATTAATGATTATTATAATTATAAATATTATATGTTATCTTTTCACGTAATATTATTATAATATTGCTGTTATCAATAATTTAATAGGCTGGTTACAATCAACTTTCATTTCAAAATTGCTTTTCATTCTATATACATATATTATAATGTTGTTTGCTATTTCTGCAATTTTGTTTAGAATAGATGATTTCAGTTACCTAAATTGTTTTTTCTTTCCAAAGATCTTGAAAATGATCCATCGTTTCTGCAGGAAACACTTTGAGCTTATTAGTAATAAGTTTAATAATAAGATGATACATGTGATTGCTTTCTGGCCAACTGAATGATTGAAAATGTTTGTTTAACTTTTTATAAGTATTAATTATTACAAATGTAGAATTGGTATTATAATTAATAGAATTTTGTATTAATTAGGTCACAGTATTTGAGAAGTTTGCACTGCCATGAGATAAATCTGATGATGCGTATTCACTAGGTACATAAAAAAAACTTTACAGGCTTAATCATAAAGCTAAATTTATTTGAGACTGTATAGACCACATAATTTTCAGCATAGTTAGTTAGCTCTATAATCCGATTGAGAAGGTGTGGTGGAAATTATTTATTTCGTAAGTATTTATTAGCCGGATGTATACGCTCTGCAGTTAGTGAAGTTCTTTTTTGTATTATAATAATAATATAATAATAATTTCTTCCCCTTCATTTTGATAATAAGCGAGCAGTATCTCATCATCATCGTCACTATCACTAGATGAGTCGAATTGTGTTTCAACAACAAAACGAGATATTGTCGTAATAGCTATCACTTCCATTCTTTTCAAATAATCTCAGTTAAAATTGTAGGTTAAAATTTATTATAATTTTTGGTGTATGAACGTTGCACACAAACACGAGACTGCTTGAATATAGCGCCAGGTCATGACGTCACCGCGCTCATCAGTGTATTTGGAACGAATCAACGACATGGCGTCGATTCATGACGTCATTACCGCTGGCCAGCGTACCGGTGAATATTTCGGAATACACACTCTCTCTTCACTCTGAAAATTGTGTGGTCTTATTAATTGACCTTGGAACAGATCCACGACTAAAAAGCAAACGAGAATAAAAAGTTATATACTCAATATTATACAACTTATATTTCAACTCGATAGAACGCGAGCAACTATTTTGTTAAGTTTTAATGTTGAAGTAATTAAGGAATATTGTGATAAAAGTCCAATTGATGTTTTTAGCACGAACAGAAGGCGTGCGTTACTGCATAACATTCATAATAATATTACTAGAAAACTTCATAAATTATGAACGTATGAAATGAATTTAATACCTCGCATATAATACTTATTTAAAATCTAGCGTCGTTGTACTACAATTGCTAGTATAATGTATTTATCTTCTTCACAATACACCTATTTTACGTTGCCCTGTCTAAGCGTCAAGGGATATGTCGTGAGGCTATATATGTATGTTATTTGAAAATTATCTTACGATTGACACTTACATATTGCAGTAAGACTAGAAATTTTAATTGTTAAAAGTCGGCGCTGTCTAACTTTTGGGGCACGGCACAGTATCAGGTATTTTTAACCTTATCAAGAGTTAAAATTCATATTAAATTGTATACTAATATCATAGAGTAGCTTCTCATGTCATGCCGGCTTATACCGCGTGTAGCTGCAACGCGCCACCGTATTATATCGCGAAAAAGCATAGGCTTTTTGTTAAAGGAATATTACTGCTAAACTAATAGAAATAAGGTTGAAAAGGGATGTCTCAGTCAGTGCCGGCTCTAGGGCCTAATGCAAAAGATATCGCTTTGTATCGTCTATAGCGAGCATCTTATAAATAAACGAATATCGGTTATTTGTATAGAATGTAAAACAATATATATTTTATTGAGATATATCTATGTATCAAGGTGATACAAATATTAAGGACGTGGGCGGAAAATGACGAGTTGAATTTTAGCATTAAGTGATCTGTAATTCATCTCGCGAAACTATGACTAATTTTCATTAGTTGTACAGAAGCAGTTGCAATTTTATAAGTAGGAACCATATTTGACAATTTCCGATTGGATCATGACTCGTCATTTAAATGCTCAATCCATAATTCCAAGAGTGCGATTCTCTTTAATCTTACCGTGATATTGTGGGTGATCAAATGATTAGTTAGCAATTACACTTATATTTTTTATTACGCGTTGATTGAAATGTTAATCTCTCATCGCTGTAAGCTAAGTTCTAGTGGTGTATTGTTGAAATAAAATATTTTCTTAAGTATTTTTGTATCCTTTATTACAGAGGCGCCAATTCATACAACAGTCAAATATATGTAGATTCACTATTCTTTTCATTACTACAATGTATAGTAACCCAGCCCTTACTTAAGGCACTTCTCCCGTGCGCAATTTTAATTCCATTAGGGTAGTTTCACTCCAAATCAATCTTTTATTTTATACACAACAATCCCATATACATTACAGTTTGATGTTTAACAAGATGAAAAAAACGAAGTATATTTTTTTCTTTGGAACTCTTAATATAATAATAAAGGTCATAACACACATATCAACTCTAAAAGGGATAGTCACCGTATCAACTCCAGCCGTTAAGTAGGTATTTTTTGTATTACATACCGCAACCTACTGCAATGCACACTAATTGGAATCGTAACGTAATCGCCTCGCCTCAGGACAAGCTTACATCTCTTCGTGTAAGACCATCCCCCGACCTCACATTCGGATTCAAACTGATTGAAATGGTGCCGCCTAGCTAGCCGTCAAACAGCGAGCGACGTGTCGTAATCGGCTTACCGTCAAGCTCAAGTCCTGTTTACGGCAATCCAAAAGGCGAGTCGTTATCGATCCTTTTCCGATTTAATATGTGTGCAATCACCTTAAAAGGACGAAATATTGTAAAACTATTTAATTTCATGTACTTTTTAAATTTTTTTAGTACATTGTCTAGATAGGCTCCAAAGAGATTATTTAATATTATTAAATAGAAACATAACTATGTAGTCAAATATTCCTATATAGAAGATACATTTTATATAACACTGATACCTACATACATTGAGATTCAAATTATATCCATATCCTATCTACAATTTAATTATCATATTATGATTATATACTGTCAACATTGAACACTTGAGGCGAATAATTAATGAATATCTATTTAAAAATCTTAATGCATGATTTTTACCAACTATTTAGATTACACAATTGAATAATGACTAGACATAGCTTACAGCTACATACAGCACACTAGCATTTGACAAATTCAAAATTTGCTTAGATTATGAGAACAAAAATCAAAAATCTGCAACAAACAATTTTGGTAACTCTGACTCTAAACGGATCACTCTTACAATTGATGTTAAACGCCAATTATCATATGGATTAGAATTTTTGGGTGTATATGATTCTGGTGCAACAAATGTGCTATAATATGATATTAGTTCGTGGGACTGATCACCGTCTAAATCTGCAATCATCAATGATTGGTCCTGATATTCTAGATCTGGTTGACACATTGGCAATGGTGAAGTTGTGTCTATTTGTCCCCGTACACATATCTGCACAATATCTGTTTGGCTCACATTGACATTGTGCGTTTGCATTTTATCAAATGACACCAATACAATCCTCTCTGAAATGTCATGCACAGTGAAATTTGTATATTTGATAAATGATGATATTGAAGCTACATTGATAATAGGCCGGTAATAAAATATATCATTGGTATTTTTAGGACTCTGATTCTGTACATTGTATCGTACCTCATCAATTTTCAGTGCACCCTTTGCATAGTGTGCACTGTTCCACTGTCATAATTTTAACACAAACCCTCGTATTGAATTAGCAAAGGCAAATGAACTTGGCCTCATAGCATAGACATGATTGGCGGAATATTCCCAACCAACAGTAGTTGTACCATTTTTTTCAAGTAAGAGTTTTAAATTCACCCGACATGAGTTAGGGCACTCTCCAGAGTTCTCTACAATTAGTTTTCCAGGGCCATTAGTATAAATCTCCCTTGTATTACCAATACTCTTTTTTAAACTCAGATTTACCTTCTTTGTTACAGTGGCAGAAGATGTGTGATTTGATTTGTCCAGTTTCAAGAGCTTCCTATATAAGTTAGGATAAGAAATTAACCTGACAGCCTCTGTAGTACCATTTTTACATATATATGTTATAGTATCTGCTTCTGGTACCAACTTCACAGATATACAATCATGTATTGTCATTGGTTCTCCAATAATATTGCCAGTTGCCCCTGATATGATCAATAATGAATTATGATTCACATTTGGGTAGACGGTTGCCACAGTCAGGAGATCGTTAACTTTATCCTTATCCATATCCTTCATCATTATGGGAAAGTCTATTGCTGCAATGTTGCTTAACATTTTCACATGTTTATGCATGTACCAATAATATGTACCTGACAAAGGATTCAACGCAGCAAGTAATCCTTCTGAGCCTGAGACAATACAATCTTTTTGATTGTCTCTATTGACATCAATAAGATGACAGTTTATTTCTGTGGGTATTCTGTTCTCCCTAGTATACCAGCCGACTTTTCCAGAATTGCCAACTATAAGTAACACACCATTGACATTATCATTTGTGTTTTTCTCTTGTTTCATATGATTACCACGGTAGATGAATATTAAATTTTTTGTGTTTGGGATAGCTCCATCGACAACTTGGACAGCGCCTGATAGCTCGATCTCGTCGTAGGGCAGTTCCCAGCTTGTGGTTTTATCTTGCCATTCATTAGTTGAGCAGCTGCCAACCTCAGAACACGGTATCCCCCACAAGAATATGACCACAGTGAAGATGCAGATCAGAATCGATGTAATAAAAGCGCAGCGGCGAGGGGATGACATTTTATTGGACACATCGGATTGCAGAAAACTTACGTTGTCCATTGTGCTCTCTACTGTGTTTATGTTGGTGTTGAATTCGTCCATGTCGCTCAGGCTGTAATTCTTAGATGATTGCAAACCACTGTTGAAGTCCAAATTGTTACAACTGTCAGTTGTTTTGATGTGAGCAGCATTTTGCAATTTGTGGTGGTCGTCTTCCGACTCGGAGTCGGACAGTATTTGCTTCAGCGGTGCGTAATTGCCACCGGTTCCATTTGCTGACATGGCTTTATAGAATCGAAGAATGTATTCACATTTTAATGAAGCAAACTTCTGATGAACAGTATTTTTGTTGTTTATTTAAAAAATCAATAAACAAGTCCCCGAGGTCTCGATTTGACAGAAAGTAGGGATATTCTTTTACCATACGATATACCGATTGATTCGAATTTTTGACAAACATTTTTTTATTCGATACATCGATATATTTATAAAAAATATCGTATGGAAAAAAATAACGCTAACTCATACTGACAATAAAACCAAAGTAAAGGAAATTGGCAAACAAACTGTCATTGAAATGTATTATGTACATACCAGAAGCGGGATACATTAAATTTATAGATCATAATGCCAGTAATATTTATCTAAAAATTAAAATTCAACAAAACAATATGCCTTTCACGCGCTTTAGGTTCATGACGGTATATTTTATCTACCCCTTCTTCTGCATGAATTCTCCTTGTTTATTTGAATTCCAATAAATCAAAATTAGGATCATCCTATTAGAAATGGATAAAAAACCTCCGTTTTCTATCTCTCACTCGTTTCGTTGTATAGGTAACAGTGGTGTACGTGTACTGTTTATTTATATGATACACCGTAAATTTTGAGAGAGTCTGTGCGGTAAGATAATGGGCGTGGCGAAAAACAGTTATTTCCGTTTTTCGCCACATTAAGAGTTTTATTTGGCAATCAAAATCCAGCACTCTGTAACACGTTAAAGTTTTGTATTGATACGGATTTGTTTGTTGTTGTGATTTCTTGCGGTATTTTGTATTTAATCATGTCTAAAAGGGGTAAAACCTTACACAGTGGCGGACTAACAGGGGGGCGGAAGGGGCAGCCCGCCCCGGGCCTCCGATCTTGGGGGGCCCCCAAATGCCTCCGCGTTCCCCTGATCAAATGCTAAACAAGACTTTAAAAATGTACTTAGTAGTATGTAGGTATAATTTCATCAAGATCAAAGCACTACAGCCATCTAGTATTTTTACGCGGTACTAATATTCTTTTAACTGAACGCGTCCAATACGCTGGAGGGATTCCCGTTTTTAAGCGGATACTTCCTCAGGAATCCCTGAATAAGTGCAAATAATTCACATAATAATAATTAACACATTCAAATTATTGAACTCTAAACTCATTTCTGAAGTTCAGAGTTGAGAAAATGCATTTTCGAGTTTTTGGAAAAAGTAAGTACCTAATTCTTCGAATAATTTAGCCTACAAATTATAATCCGTAGTTTCTAGTCAATATGCACCTACGTTTCTAGTCAATATGTACCATATTTTAGGTATGTATGTTTATTTAGCCGAAATAATTTGATTCGAATTTAAATTTCACTTGCTAGATTTCAACGAAACAAACATAAGAAACTATATTTTGTTAAAGCCTCATTCAGCTTTGCCGCCCCGGGCCTCTAACGGGCTTAGTCCGCCACTGACCTTACAAATACCGTAGAAAAGCACTACAGTGCCCTCCAATCTAAATCCCATTCTCTTTCCGCACAGACTCTACCTAAGAAACTTTACTAGCTATTCGTTTTATTGGTAACAGTGGTGTCCTGTTTATATGATACACCATGAATTTTGAGTAACCTTATGAAACTTTAGTAGCTATTTCAGATAACAATTTAGATTATATTCCTGCAAAAGAAAATTTTATGCAAATATTTTTTGGGAAAAATGTCTCCTCCTTAACTCACTATTTGTATATTTAAACAAACCTTTACATCTTTTTTATAAATTGATTAAAATAAATCAAAATTTTGTATTTATGTACTATAAACGGACAATAATTTCTTAATAGGTATGTTATTTGTTTATGATATTTGTGAAAAAGTCAACCAACAAAGAAACAGAATGAAAGTAAAAGAAAAAACCAAGTAAATTTTTACTCTTACAAAGTCTACCTAAAGAATATTGGTCTTAAATGAGTATTATTGTAACAAAATATTTCCACCATAAAGTAGTGTTTATCTTACATGTTTATAAATCGTATCACCACTGTGTGAGTAGTACCTATAATTCTATTAAAGTAATACTCAGAGTAAATTAAACTTTTGAAAAATGTTCGACATTGAAAACATATCGATATTTTTAAACGATGCATCGAAAAACATCGATATCGCTTTCCGATATTTTATATCGAATACATGTATCGATATTTTTTTTAAGTGTACACCCCTAACACAAAGAGATTTTGTTTTTACCGGACACAAAGAGAAACTCGAAGCGACGAAATCTGGCGAGAGTCAAATGTCATTGTCAAAATGACATTTTCGTTCAAAAACCATTTGATAAAAACATGTGCGCGTTCAATGATATAACTTTCTTCATCCGCGATTACTTTCATATATTAATGTTCAATTTAATTAAATTCATATAGACCTGCTTTAGCTTTGAACTGGATCATGGAAAGAATCAAAGTCAGACTAATAACCCCCTGAAGCCGTATTTTGAAATCACATTACTTACATCTGGCAAAAACAGCGGATGAAGCGGCTTTGACTGGCTTGTTTTCATAATACGACGTTGAAAAGACTTCCCGATTATTGCTATGCCTTGTCAACGATTATAAGAAAGCGTATTCTCTTGTAACATCCTGCTTTTTCCTATAAATGATCCACCCCACCTGATGTTAAGTGACGATGGAGTCTAGACCTGAAGATAGCTGGCACAGCCAGCAATGTTACCTACCACACCAGCCATCCTCATCTTGCCGGTTTGTAGGAGGGAGAATACACGTGAGCGTGCAAAGCATTCCATTTGCGGATAGTGCGACAAAAAATTGAGTCACCCAACTTTGTTCGCGTTGGCATAGTGGCCACAGTAAGTCAGTGACAACGTAGTCCAGCGCGCGTGGTCGTCTGAAGAAAAGGGGAAGGTAGGATAGGGGAGAATAACTGCTCAGAACACTTGCCATGATACAGACGATAAAAACGCGCTTAGTGACGCCACGTCACGACGTAAGTAATTCAAGATGCTCGAGCTGTTTAGTAACCTAGTGGAGTCAGCTCAGAGGTGCGAGTAATATTAAGACCGCACTTGTGTCTTGTAGGTACAATAAGCAGCCTGAGCGACTGCGCTCAGGCTGATGAATAAGCAAGTTGTAGCGTGCGGGAAATGTTGGTCGAGCTTGCGAAAATGCTCAACTGCTCGTACTCGTCGTTAGGCAGGCTTTTGCTTCGCAAACGGCGTATCATTGGCAAAGAGCAAAGAACCTCCATCATGAAGTCATTTATTTTAGTACCTACCTATTAAATAAGAATTGCACCCATTCTGTGAGTTTGGCTGTTGCGGTATTTGTTCACAAACTTTTTGTTACCAAGTGGATTTTCTAATCAGTCACCAATCCAGTGGGCCAGCATGTATGTCTTGCCCCGTTCTTCCTATTCCGTTATGTTATCATAGAATATCAAAGGTACGTGCCCTGGCAGGCCGTGGAGACATTAATTGGGTGACACTCAATAAGTTTTACACATATTCCTAATTTTGTTATTTTCAAACCTTTTCAGAAACTTCGAGAATTATGTTAATCTCCTTTTCAGGTTTCGGAACGTTTTTACATTTTGCGCTTTAAAGGTTCAATTTAAATTAATTCAGAAATGGATAGACAACGCATAGATATGGATAGGCTCCTAATTACCTAGGTGACACCAGCCATCAAGGTACGTCTCCTCGACTACATACAAGTAACGGCGAGCTGATAGTTGAACATCAACTGGTGGAAGCTTTTCACTGACTTTCAGTCAATGGATGTCTAGACGTAAGTGGATAGACTAGCTTTGCGCGACTTCGAATAATACTAATACTAATCATTCGACTAAGGCGACTGCGCTTTATATCATTCGACTGGAGTCGAAGTTATCGGGCGGCGTGCGTCGCACTCGGCGACATTTGACATATTAGTATTACTAATTAGTAGTCGTTATTCTAATAATGACATTAGCATACTACTAATTTGCTTTTCGAATAGCCAAATTAGTAATTAGTCGAAAGGTAAAATCATTCGTAGTCGCGCATCGTTAGGATAGACTAACTAAAAGCGCATTCCGACCGAGGCTATTAAAAAAATATTTTATTTACGTTGCTGATTAAGGTGTACGGAATGCGCAAAATAGAGAATACTAACGACCCGATTTTAGGCCGTCTGTGTTCAGAGGCTCAAGTTCGAATTTTGAAAGCTTCGTAATCAACGTCCGGTAGGCGTAGGGGCGCTGCTTAGTTTTCAATGAAACGAACGATGCGATGAGATACGATTACGGAACATTCATGCTTGGGGCTATGGAGGTTAGAGTTAAGGAGAGAGATCGCTACCTACTAAAGCGTTAGCCCGCCTGTCCTGAAAATTTGTAGAATTTATACTTATGTAGTTCATTTTTCAGCCACAAGCCGCGCTGCCGTCGCGTCGGTTCGTATTATCTGTGAAGTTAGCTGTTTATGAGTACAAGTACATAGATGGAGTTAGTTGAATATTGTGCAAATTTTTTTCGCGGCATTGGTCATTTCAAATTAGCCCGCTTTTATAGAAACAAATTAGCGACCGCAGCGCATCACTTATTTTGTGCATATTTCTGGGACACTATTTTCTACAGCGATTGTTCTCCTTATCTCTAACCTCCATGCTTTGGCCTCAGTTCCTACGGTTACATACTGGGTTCTTTGAAGAATAGGATCTCTGCTTTGGTTCCTGCTGAGTTTATGATTAACGCTATTGTCCAAGGTAACTGTAGACCAGGGAGCAAATTGACTCACGTAAAATACTTATTTTCATTAAAAGCGCCAAATGATATAACCAATTTCTTTTATCATCAGCCTAGAAAATGTCCCCATTACTGGGGCACATGCCTTCTCTATGGATGGAATTATGGAGATTGAGCTAAGTACCACCACGCGAGCCCAGTGCGGCTGGCTGGGTGCTAAAAACTGAAGATGCAGCTGAGATCAATTGCTGCAATTGCGCCATCGAGCTCCTCCACTAATCTTACCCTCTTGAAATAGAAGGGATGTTTGTGGAAGGAAAAAAGGCCCAGAATTAAGTAGGCCCCTGGTTTAAATAAAATGCATATCTCTAGGCAGACTGTATATTTTTTGTTTTGTATTGTATGTATATAAATTATTTGTAGTTATTCCAATACTTTAGCCTACAAACATTACTTTAAACACAAGTTTCTCATATTATGTCACACTTATATTTTATTGGTGCTTTCCGCTTACAAAATGGTATAAAAATAAACTTGTTTCACAAAGTAAATAATGTACCTATATATTTACTAAAAGACATATATTAGGAAATCAGGCAGACAAAAACACATTTATGAGGCCTTTTTCATTTGCGTAAACAATTTACGGTAGCCACTCTTTTATCAATATATTTTGTGTAACAGAATAATATGCCAATACAATGGTGATACCTTTTACACTAAATGAGATTATTCAAGTTATAATTATAGTTTATTTACTATATTGATCATCAATATTTAATGCTTCACCCACTACACATAAATACCATGTCATAGTATACTAATAACCATTTTATGGTTGTAATCTTCTACGGCAGCTATTAAACTAACTATAATTATGAAATAAATAGAAAAACAAAACAAACTATTTACATGTTCAGCCTCAAAAATACTTTATATTGGTGTATTCATATTAGTAGTTGTAACATTACCAATGGCACTTTAGTTATTTATTTATGTATTAACAGAATTTATAACTCGGCATTGTGCACGTGCGTGCCTGGGGAACTACGGTCGTTTTGAAGAAGACTTACTGATTATAGGAACAAAGATAAAATTAGCATGTCACACACCCTGACCAGTTACGCTTAGTCTTAACCGAAAAATAAATAATAAAAATATATTTCTACAAAATAATGTGATGATATCTTAAGACAATGGACAAGATTAGGCATTAGTGAACATTTTGTTAAAATAATATCAATGGAGGCCCATCCGTATTATGCCGAAAACTATAATATCAGGACGGGGCCATCGTTACAACATGTGACACTGAACAGAAAAGACAGTCATTCCAGACATTCAAGGAATCAGTCTTGCAATACGTTCACAAAACATCTTTATATACATACACAGAGAGTCGTTTTAACAAAAATAATCTGCATAAACATTCCACTAAATACCATAGTTGAGTCCCATATTGAATACTTATGAATAATACAATTTAAACTATTATAAATTAATATTTTGTTAGTCGGTAATAAGGTGCCGGCCCTCATACTAGCATCCCGCGCTAGACTATCTTAAAATACAATGCATATTTGTACAAATCAAATACAATAATATTATGATATTAGAAACCAACTTCACCCGAGCAGCAGTCACAACGCTGTTGGACATGAAGTTGAACTTCAGAATAAGCTAACACGTCTAAAAATTAGACGGTATTCGACTAAATAAATAATACAGATCTACGATTACACGGAATAAGGATATTCGCCGAGATATTCTATGAGAGTCGATGGTAGAGGTAGTAGTCTGTGTTTGGGTGCGCACCAGAGTTTGGGCTTGAGGGGGTTGGAGTCCAGTGCCTTGTGGACTGCGAGGCGGGCCGCGTGGAGTAACGAAGGCGGTTCTTTCCTCAAAGGTGTGGAAAGGAGAACGGGCGAGTGTGGGCAGCCGTCTCTGTCTACCCACACCGTGCCAGCGCCTCGCTGACCGACTCGCGTGTAATGTTGTATCAACTCTACGACGCAACGAAACCGCGGCATATACCGCGCCTGTAACCGGTCACAGTCTAACCTGCAACCAAAAAAAATATAAATTAGAATAGGAAAGCAAAACAAAACTTTACAACAAAATAGACGCAGCGGCCGATCGCCGCCGCTAGTGGCTTAGTTGCGGCCGCTCGCGCCGATACTATACAAAATGTATGAAAAAACTCGACCGCATCGTGTGGACGCGTTCAGTGGCCGCCACTAGTGGCTCAATGTGCGCTGGTTTCTTATTATCTAGGCTAGGTGATAATATTGAAATCAAAAGTGATTTGATGAGATTGAAATAATTTGGTGACTGTCTTTTTACAAACACAGTACAAACTGGGATAACACCAAGGTTTTCATTTGCTTCTAGTATAGCATGACAACATATGACTAAAGATAATAATTTATCAAATTAAAGATATGTTAAATGATTAAATACTACAAGTACAGTACCTACATTTTATAATTGTTTTCCGGTACATTAGCGTGTGCGCAAACAATAAATAGCTTGTAAAATAATTAAAGTGCGTAAGTGAATTACTAAAAGTAATTATTTGTACAATTATCATATAATTATGAATTATTATTACTCATACTAGTCGGAAATAGCCTGGAATACGCCTGGACTCTGTGTGAAGACATATACTAGAACTTACCTTTCCGTATATATGTTTTGTGGTTACAAATAAACATGTATAAGAATTTATTCTCAATAATGTGTAACGAGGGTGACACATTTTCCTTGTGTGCTAATTACCCAATAGTCAAATATGAATGAATGTATTCTACACATATTACAAATACGGAAACCTTCATTATTAATCTGATGAAATAGAGAAACCGGGCCATGACTTTCCATGTGGGCCCAGTGTGCATTGTCAGGGTACAGGAAGCCAGGACCAATGACTTCTCATCTGCATCCCGAAGCATGGAGAAGCTTGAGATAATAGTTTTTGTCCTCTAAGTCTACATTGCGAATAATGTTATACATTCATGATCACAAACTGACAGCCTATCCTTTGCTTTTTGGAGCTCCTCCAAAGAGGCCCAAATGTAAATAAAAGAAAATGAGTACAGCTAGAACATGGCGTGTTCTTACCTAAAGAATCCTTCCTCAAAATGTAACCTCACAGAGGTTGGCCCCCGGTCAGTCTGTACTGATAATGAAAATATGAAATTGCTATCCCCAGAATTCCTGATGAGGAACGCTCCCACGCTTGCTTCTTTTAACAAACTTCGCGCGCCCTGCAACCAAAAACAAAATACTTTATTGGTACACACATACTCAATGTATTGAGATGAACAAATATAGAATTGGGTACAATTTTGTTAATAAGGAGGAAAACTAAAAAAAAATTCACTTTTATCAAATTACAGATAAGTCTATTTAATGTAAAAACAAGATTCTTTATCATTAAAAGTTTGCATGTCATCGCTCGCTTTAGGTATTTAGCGATAACTTTACATTATATTGACATGAAAATATTAAAGTTATAATTAAATTATGACTGATACTTATTTGGTCAGAGAGATAGTAGGTGTAGAAACAAAAAAATTATGTTTTTTTTTAATAATAAAAATTCTCACCTGCCAGTCTAAATGCCCGTAATACCAGCCCGAAAGCCTGAGCGCTCTATATGTTTCATCTAGTCTCCTTAAGCTGTCGTCTAAAGGTGGCAATGTCGTCGAATAAGGAGTGAAATATGTGGGCGAAACAACGAAGGGTGGAGTGAGGGGAGTGTGCGGCGGCCGTTTGCCAGGGCACGCCGCCAGGGACACGCGCAGCTCATGCCGGCAGTTAGGACACGCACCAGACCAGCTACTGATTGGTACTTCCACGCATGCATCTGTAAAGACCAAAATAAACTGGTTAGAACTAGATTGATTTATATCTTGCAAGGGCGTTTGCTTCTTTTTAAGGTTCTTTACCTAAAGGGTTGAGACTCCATCTCATAGATACATAATAATAATATTACACTAGAGGTAACAGTGTCGATTATGGCATGATGCTCCAATCCCAAACTTAAATTTACCATCAATATCTCCTTTTCATTTTGTATAGAGAATGACAAAGATGCACTGTTGTCAAATTTAAGTTGAGGTTAAGAGAATCATGTCAGAATCAGACCAATGCCTATTGTCACATCTGTTTAAAAATATTGTTAACTGTCAGTTCATCAGCAGCATTAATAAGCTGCCGGGACACAGGCCCAGTGCGGATTGGCGGGCGCTAACGCTGGCAGATGCCGCCGGAACCAACGGCTTAACGTGCCTTCCAAAGCACGGAGGAACTCGAGATAGTAGATTTTTGGTCACCCATCCAATGACAGACCACTGCAAAAGTTGCTTAACTTAACAACAATTGCAGCCGAATACGCTAACCAGTGTGCCATCGAGCTCGTCAACTGTAACTTGTTTGAAGTCAATAAACATTATTATGATGTTATGACACTAGGCAGTTGAAACTTTTATGAATGTTATGTTGTTCTATTGCCACTATAACAGCAAAATATGATTGAGAGCTAAAGGAGGACCCCATAAAAACCGTTACTTGCTCAACCTAAACATTGCTAGACAATATTATGGTATAATTACCCTTTGTAGCCTTGCCATTGTTTTACACAGGGCTCAAAAACCTACTCTAACATGATCAACTATGAGTGAAATCCATTTGTAAATATTGTTGATAGAGCATATTAAATTTTCACTAACCATTAGAACTAGTATTATTTATTTAGCTGCAGATTGGCTGATTTGGAACTTAATACAGCTTCCATCTGGGGAAGTGAAAGCTTTGATTCAAACAGAAAAAACATTTATAAATACATTCCAAAGAAGGCACATAACTTTCTGAACTTTACGATTGTATCACAGCTTTTAGACATACAAATTGTAATAATCATAAAAGAGATGAGGCATTTTCAGAGCCTTTAGATATGTATGTAGTCTAAAATCTCTTTGTAGGTTAGTATTGCAGAACATGTTTCATGTGTATAAAAATGTGGTTATTTTATACATATAAATTAACCACCAAACATAATGGTGGTGGTAAGAAGTTTGCTAGAAAATTCAATCAGTCACTCAGTGGATGACTGATATTCTATCAAACAGATATAACAACTTTCTTTTTACACCATAAGCCATTGTCCAATGATAATTAACTAATCATGCAGTAAGTAGATATAAGCAATAATTGATTATATTTTTAATTTAAAGATGTAAATTATTTTTAAATTTAAAGCCTATTAATCCACTGCTGCGGCACAGGCCTTCCCTATGGATGAATAGAGAGATTGCGCCCTGACCCATGACAAATTTTAGGTCACACATCCACTGATTGATCATTGCGAAAGTTGCTTAAGAAAGTTACTAAGACTAAGCACAGCTCATCAAAATGATATTATGAGATCATAAATTTATTACTGTGGCATACAGCTACTGTACATTTCACTAAAAATATTTACCTTTCCATATAAAAAATAAAATTATCCTTATTTTTTCAAGCTAAATGATTTCATAGGTCATTAAGATAACCAGACACTGATATTACTTTCATGAAGTCTTTGGAGATAAAATAATTGTAATAATATCTTTGTAACATTTGATATTCAGATTAATTAGTGAATCAATAATCAATATCAACATGCTCTTAATGAATATTTAGTTTGAAAAAACTTGCTCTTTACTTTGTCTCGGACAGATAATATAATTTATAGGTAGGTAAGTATTATGTAGTGGGTGACATTACATTGTAATATCTTATATTTCAGGGACACAAAGTTACTAAGCTTCTTTTATAATCATTAGCAAATATTTATAAGACTATTACTTAACATGTGCAACTTTTTTACTAATAAATATATGTTTATTAAATATATATTATTATTACAGTTTAAGATAAAAAGACTAGACAAGGAAACATTTTTTGCTAAACGAGAAATTTTATCCCTCTTGTCATGATCAACTTGAGACTTTTGCTTTTAAAACTTTTTATTGTTCATGGTAAGTTGTATCTCTAACATCATTGTTATTATTAATCCATTTCTCAACATTTTTAAGAGTACTAAATGTGATATTTTGACCAATTAACTATTAAACTGAACCATCGTTGATAAAATTTCTTTAAATGAGTACTGTTGATTGCTAGCAGTTCTTAAATTATAACCTTAATAACCTAACTTATAACCAAGGACTTACTATGTATTTGAAGTCTAGCTGCTAAAGTCATGTTTGTTGAACTGAATCTTATTCCTCTTCTTTCTATTATACACATTTGTTGGTCACTTTTTGGTGGAATATTGTGTGATCCACTTGCCGCAGAGACCACGATTTTTTATAACTTTATATTAATACGCACTCCACCGATATCAAGATAATGTTTATAATATATGTCACATATGTCATGACCGTTCTACTATTTCTGTTATAATAAATTTTAACTTGTTTAACTCCATTCACGTTTCCAACAATTTACACTCATTGACCAACGCAACGCTTGAAACGTCAAACACTAGCGCAAGGCTTCCAGAATACTATACTCGAGGTACACTGTGTCACTTGATATTTATATACCTGGTATTTTAATAACATACACGGTATAAACTGATTTTCTATCTAAACTTGGATTAAACTGTAGCTCTTAAATGTAACTCGTCCACGTTACTGGCGTGGACACGACGAAATAAAGCGAAGTGTGTGAGCGCGAGGCCGGTCGTGCGCAACGCAAACTACGCTCCAAGAAGCGGGCGGACGAAGAGCGCGACCGCGGGGAGAGAGGCAATGATGATGATGACGTGACAATGAAGGGGCTCACACACGCAAACGAGTGTGTGTACACTATCTACGCTCCACTCATAACGACCAATGAAAAACTAAACTAAGTACAAATTCTAAGAAGTCTGTTCATAATAGACCACAATGACTGGTAATTTGGCATTCTTCATTGAATTTACAATACAAACTAGAAATAAAGTAGCTCAATAAACGCAAATACTATGAAATAAACATGAAAAATAAATAAATTATAAATAAAATTAGCCGAAAATAGATCTATTAGCATTATTTGGCTTTAAATATTGAGACAAATAAAAGAAGTTCGAAATTCTGAACCTCGTATAAAGTATAGGCACCAAAGTTAATACTTATCTAAATTTAATCTATAGTGATGTAGGTCCACTTGTTATAAGTATAACATCACACTTTTATAGTATTTAAATTCCTCAGGAGATTCCTGTCTGACAATGATCAGACATATAGTAAGTTTTTAATTCGGTATATTGCCAATTATCTATTGAATTCTCGAATATTATGCAATAGATTCTTCTCTCTTTTGAAATATTCTGTTAATGCAGAACATAATAATAAACAGCTAAAATAAAATTCGTGTTCTTTTTTGCATATTCTCATATTTTTACATTTTTTACACAGCGTCATAAGGTTAATTAATATACAGCTATTCAATTTAATTTTAGGTTTAAAGAATCGGGCACAATAACGCATCGTAAAATGAAAATGCCAAAGTTGTATTCACATTCGAATGGGGCATACGAGAGCGAGTTCCCCGTAGTGCGATTATATTCGGTGTTCTCAGAATCCCTTACCTGCGCCCGCGCTGCTTTCACAACCATCTGCCGCTTGTCATTGACGCACACTCGTGATACGCAGCTGCTCAAGTATTCAGCGATAAATTACTGTGCTCCCCAACAAATCAATTTAAGAGCTTACAAAAATAATTCCAGCATTACTCTAGCTTTGATTAAATATTTTAAAGGCTTATATTTTGATTACTTAAATGTATTACCTCAAACCTACATCACTTAGTTTTTATATCCCTTACCAATGAAACCTGTCGGAAATCTTATAAAAAATTACAATTTGTTTTCATGTTATTAATTAAATTAAGAATATTTTTAAAGCGAATTTTCCTCTAAACATCAGTAAAAACTTTTCAAGTACCGTATTCCTCTGTCGTTTGTTGACCAACTCGAGTGTTCGTTCGCGTTTAGAGGCCGCAACGTTTCGTGGAACGCAGCACGCTCCGTTTTCAATTTCGCATTGCATACCGTTGTTCTTAGTACTTCGTTTGAGGGGCTGCCGTGCCTGAGTAAACATTTACACAGAATCCATTCCAATCAATGATGGTACCGATAACATTTTTGTATTAGGTCGGTATTCGGAAAGTTGGCAATATATAAATGAAAAGATACTTTTCACTGTTGCATGTTAGTAAGTACAAGGTGGCACAAATATATTCATCCAATTATTGTGTCTTTGTATAATCTTTTTAATAAATAAAAATAATATATTTTGGGAGTTGGAAATCTTCATTTTTAGGACCTTTAAATCATTTTCTATTTGTTAGAATGATGATATCCGTTAATTGGCAGCTGTTAGTGTTGATACACATTGTACCCGTTTTGTCGCACTCTTCATGATTTCCGCAAGATTTCCAGTGATAACTGTTCGCATTCCTGTCGAATGACTCTGTAAAGGCTGCAATTTTCTGTGGCTTCTTGGCAAACCGGAGACTTCAAGTAGCCTCAAAGAAAGAAGTTGCTAGCCATGCCAAATCTTTGAAATTAATGAAATCGTGCTGTTTGTGCGGTTGCACCGTCTTGTTGAAACCACACAATGTTCACGCTCCTGCGGAGTATCGTGCTCCATTGCTTATATGTTTGTATTCTGCATTTATTTAGTTCATAAATGTCAAATATGAATGGCAATTTGCAATAATTATAATATCTTCCGATAGACTTTTACGCCACCCTGTGTTATAGTTATTACAAAATTCTTTTTAAAATAAAACTTGTTTTTTTTCCTTAGCACTAATTATTCGAATTAAATACCTGGTATTTACTAAGTATTATATTACAATTTGGTACACAGTTATGTTGATACATGAGTATACCTACGCCCTTAGAATATCAACGATATTTATTGTATGTAGAATGCTTTAGTGAATAACTTGTTCTGAGGTTCTGAGGTAAAAAGTAACCACTCCGTTTTTTATGTGCAATAGCAAATATCGTATTTGTATCTACTTAAACAGGAATTTAGGGTGGATCTTAAGTATATCTTATTTAATTCCTAATAGGTATTGAAAGTTCATTTAAATTTAAGTTTTGATATTAACAGTAGCTCAATAGTTTACTTGCTACCATCAGTCCTGTCATAGGTATATTGCCTTTTCTTTTTCGGTCGTGCTCAGCCAAATGTTTAAATATGTTGCTGGCAGCACAAATTTTTATTTTAAAAATGTTATTTTGTTTTCCGTTTCCCTTTTACCATCCCTCTGCATAATTTCGTTCTTGTGCGATTACATGTGCTGTGTATATTTTATAATAAAATATCGTATCTCTGCAACCGGTGGTTTTCCTCTGCAACCAAAAACTACAGTCCACTACTCCAAGAGCGCAACAAAATACATGTGTTTGGTCCGGTCTACGTACTGCGCTGCTTGCATTTTTTTTTTTTGGTAAGACGGTGGCAAACAAACATAAAGCGCAACTTGTGGTAAGCGGCCATCATAGCTAGGGTTGCCACCCGTATTTTATTATAAAGTATTGTACGTTATTTTGGGTAATTGTACTCTATACTTTATGCCAACAAAAAAATACGCGAAAATATAAAGTATTTTAATGTAATTTGATTACTCGCAGATTTATTTTACATAAAATATACAAAAAGAGGTTGATAGGAAGAATTTTTGCCTAAAACGGACAGAAAGTATGAATATGTTGCCCTTAGCTAATTCCTGCAACATTTTTCGTGGCTGTATGCCTTTGTATCATGACCTTTCCCATTGCGGAAAAAACTACAGTAGCCGCAAATTATTTATTAAAAGTTGCTAGTAGCAACGTAAAACATATTTTAAGCTTACTAATAAAGTGGAAAAAAGTACTTGACTTTGGACACAATGTACTTTTTTTTCTACCTTTAATATCCAATGTACTTTATTTCGACAAAAAAGGTGGCAGCCCTAATCATAGCATATAAAGGCTTGCGATACAGCGATACTAAAATATCACTCGCCATTGCCTACCCTGACCCAATCCCCTACTCCATGGAAATTAGATAATGTCCGCCATTAAGGGGGAAAAAATTCGTGCACACCAAGTTTGGTTTTTTTTTTGAAGATGGTTACCCCTCCTCTCTTCCCCACATACTTCGATGATTCTTTCTAACAGATACCTTCGGTCTTTCTACTCTGCAATAATCTATACCATTATTTACATAAATAGAGATAGGTAGCTATAACTACCTACTACATTGAACTATTTTCATATACTCATCAGTATCTACAGTACACACAGTACAGTACAATAACTAGTAATGCGACGGAACACGCGCTCTTTAATTAAATTCTGAGAAACGAAAACAATAGTAGTTTCTATAGAATTTCTGTTTTCTATTTGTTTGCCACTTGTATACCAGCTATTTGATACATGAAAAGCTATAGTATAGCTTCATTAGGCACATAATATTCATATTAGTAATATATTGTTGCTTTTATATTTTATTAATTTTGCATGTTGGTACTGTTTTTACCCAAATGCGCAATGCAATAGCGCGAAGCGCGACGTGCAAACAGGTATACCCTGTAGTGTTTAACAGTCTATATATGTATGTATGTTACTTTGTGGCACACTGGATACCAAACGCGTGGACTGATTTTGATGATTTATACGTCAATCGATTCCTCTTAATCATAGGACTGCTACTAAAGACATGCTAGTAATCGAAATTCAATATATTGTGATAAAGAAAAAAATAAATTACGAAATAGGTCGGGTGGTGTGTATTATAGATAATCGAAAATTATGTTAAGGTTCTTTACACCATTTTTCATTTTAACTAACTGTTTAGGATCTACAACGATTTAAATTTGTATATTAAGCACTTGCGTTTTTTATTTCAATGTTACGTTTGTATGGATCTTTGTTACTCTTTCATCCAAAAAATACTGAATGGATTTTAATGAAACTTGACAATAATATGGCTCATACATAAAAATAACATTTAGATAATAATGTATGATAATAATTGAGAAAAAATATCCTATCTGCACCTGTCAAAAAACCCGACTGCTTAAATATTACTTCAAACAAAATCTAAAAAGAAAAAATAATATGTTCAGTAGTCTATAATTCTGTTGTAAAACCCTTGTAAACCATTCGTTTATAAGAAGTAAGTTTTTTAGTAACCAACATTTCGAAGAATTCACTTTCTGTAAATAGCTAAACCAGGTCATCTCGAAAATTTTGTGTACATTATATACGATTGAATAAAATTCTCGGAACTTTGGAAGTACCTATATAAAAAGCTTAATTAGCAAAGTTGTCATTTCAGCGATACTTACTCGTTTGTAAAAATTAGGCAGTAGGTATAATTATGAGCAGTGTTAAGCAGAAAGCGACCAGCGTGCATCATTGTTGAATCAAGAGAAAGTTTGATAATTAACACCTACCTACCTTTTTAATCCTAAAATAATTGGGCTTTTGGAAAAGTATTCTATGACGTATAATTAATTATCAGTCCAATTTGCCAATTTCGGTTTATCTACTTTTGGACGTATCCAAATTATATTTTTTTAGTTATAATACTACCTACTCCTAAAATTACTAGGAGCGATTTTCTTTTGGCATAAGGAGCAAATGCCAGTTCCAATACTTAAATATTTTGAAATAATTGCATCGGGATTCTTTAATTGACTCCGGCCCTTGCGATCTACGAAAATAATGCTCATTTAGTCTGAATATTATATTATTATGTAATTAAGTACTGTATATTGTACTCACATAAAAGGGTCGTAATTTAAGCCTACGCATTTTATTCTTTACATACTTTTAAAAAACTTTGCCATGATATATCCATTTACAAGGATGCACACTTTGTAACAGAGTTCGGGTTAGACGAATTAAAAAAAAGTTGGAATAATAATAATTTATTTGCATCGGTTACTTATTATGAGAAATAATTGTAAGAACAAAATTAATAAAGGCCAAAAAGAAAGCAACGCAAAAGCTGCAAAGTTTTATTAATGAAACTCACCAAACCTTTAATTAAGGCTAAGTATATTTATAATGCATTCTGCGAAGCATTACACAAGAAGGTTCTCATAACAAAATAGTTATCTTGACCTCCTTGCGAACATCTCAAACTTTACCTTCTCTTTTAAAGCAAGTGGGGTCTAAATAAAGCGGAGAGACTATAAAATCAGTTGTGTATATTTTCTCTGTATTTTGAGCTTCTACACTATCACAAATAGAGAGTTCTTAATTATGAAGGAAACAGAAGCAATTTTCTTCCTTTTTAAAAAAAACTAAACTTACATATATGCTTGTCTTGTTTAGTTGTCACAAAATTAAATAAATTGCAGTTATTTTAGATTGATTATTGATTTACTGCTCAATTCAGTTTTTTAAGGCACGTAAAGAAAGCAAATATATTTCGATAGATTATTACATTTTTGTTTTAAGCATTTAACTGCTGGATGTTTAAATGTAAAGATTTTTTTCGGTTCTGAATTCCGTCTAAAACTTTAACTGAGTAAATTTTCTTTATATTTAGATAACTAGCGGCCGTCCCGGCTTCTCACGGGTGTATTAAATACTATGGAATGCCTACGTCAAATGCCTACGTCATTTAAACAACCTATTTAACTACTAAATATCATGTCTACGACTAAAAGTGTAGGCGTGCGTTGACGCATTATTTAAAACTTCAACATGCTATATTTTTGTTTTATGAGGGTAGTTTTGAAAAATGAAAACAGATAGCATTTTTATTTTATACAGAGTAAGGTGTGCAAAATTTTAATCAATTCTATGTACTTTTGGATGCTCTCAAACAAACTTTGACACGAAATTTTGTAATTTTTTGAGGATAGTTGTAATAATTTTATGTTAAAAGGCTTAGTGTACATTTATTAAATAGTGTTTATGCAAAATTTGCAGTCAGTAGGTCCAAGGGATAAGATTTTATGAACAAACGTTTTTTGCAAATTTCACACTTAAGAGGCTGAAATTAAAAAAATCCCATCTCTTTACTTGTCTAGGCAATAATAGAAAGGAACCTACTGTCCAAATTTCATAATTCTGGGTCCAGCCGTTTCGGCTGTGCGTTGATGAGTCAGTCAGTATGTCTGTCAGTGAATCTTTAGTCTAGTAAAGATAAATGGAGCAGTTGAATAAATCATCGTCATCAGTTTTATATCGATAGTTGGGTAAGGTTCGGGCCTTCCTTGTGATCTCATTAGAGACCCACCACGGGGGGCCAGTGAGGATTAGTGGGTGTTAACGAGTGCAGCCAGGGTCACGGTACCCATCCTATGACGATCTAGTGCGAAGATAGCTAAACTTCCACGATTGAATGAAAGCGCTAATCACACATATTTAAGAAAAAAAAAACATATTTAGGTATTATGTGTGTTTATTTTAATAGCACTACCGAAATTGAAAATAACAAAATAGATAAGTAATTTACATACTCATAAAGTTGAAAGATCATTAGCATTGAAGGTTTGATTGCCCATTAGTTGGTGCAAAAAAATATTTATTTAAAAAACAAAATACTCGTATCATTTTAAAATAAAACAACTTCGTACAGCGATAAACTCATTACTGACATATAATCAACAACACGTTTTCTCGAAACTGTACGCTGAATGACGATATCATTCCAAGAATAGCTCTCTAAACGCCATTTCCTAGATACCAGCCGGCGTGGAATTATTGTTCTTGGTAGGACCGAAGTAATTGTGCTCATTATCGGTTACAGAGAAAATTGTGAATGAATATTTCAATTGCAAACGCATTATAAGTAAAGTCAATAACGGATTATACCTACTCAATATTTTATTACATTGCTGCTATCAATAAATGTGACAATAATATTAGCAGAAAAAAAAACATCGTAATTACTTGCTTTGGTCCAACAACAGAAAAACGGGTATCGCTTTTTTAATAAAAAAAAATGACGTTTAAGCATTTATGGCATTTGTCATTATTTAGAGTGAGTAGAACGGTCGTTTGCGCCACGCCTAGTAGAAAGAGGCGCCATGTAGACACTGTCTAATCGAAAAAAAAAACGTAAACACATCGTCGATCAAACAGCGCTGAAAGAAAAGCTCACTAGAGTCTGTGCGGAAAGAGAATGGGATTTAGGTCGGAGGGCGCTGTAGAAAAGCATTTCTACCGTATTTGTAAGGTTTTACCCCTTTTAGACATGCATAAATACAAAAAAACCGCAAGAAATCTCAACAACAAACAAATTCGTATCAATACAAAACTTTGACGTTTCACAGATTGCTGGGTTTGATTGCCAAATAAAAATCTTAATGTTAGTTCCGTTTTTCGCCACGCCCATTGTCTTTCCGCACATACTCTAGCTCACTGCATCCTTATCAACGTTTTCGACAGGTGCACGCGTGTAAATTGCGAGAAATAAGGATATGATATTTTTTTAGATGTGTAACATCTTTCCTCTCGCTTCCCTGCAATTTGTGGGAGTGATTTCGTGAAATGGGACGGAAGTGTGTAACACTAAGTCGCGAAAGCGCGCGCTGTTTGATTTGATTTTAGAACATAATGTTGGCTGCATAAATGGCTTATTCCTTTTGTAGTAGGGTTTATTTCTTTTTTTACTAATATAAGGTGAGGTTTCAAATGCTACACATCATCCGCGACTACTGTAAGGCTCGCTCGTTATTTATTGGCTATTTCACTCCATTCATTTTATTGGAACGAAGTTCCTTATCGTGCGGTACGGACTAGGCGGATGGAGGCTAAGGAGAAAAAAGTGTAAGATTTTGACTTCACGATTTTCCATCACGACTTACGATTGTCAGCTGTTTCGTAGTGTATTGTGTGTATTTGTGTACTTATTTATGTTTATTTTTAAACTTCGTTCCAACCGAGTGTTCCAGGACACTCGCGCACGTTTGCTTTTGATTTTTGCAACAAATCGTCCCCTTTGTCCATTCAAATGATTTCAGTTCAACAGATGATGCGTGACAACGTGACAAACAGAGTTTACTTTCACATATATAATATTAGTATGAATAAACTAACGGTTAATGTTAATTACCTATACGGTGATTGCAGTAACATTATTATTATGCATGGATAGACGTAGCGTCGACAGCTCTTGCATAACAATGTAAACGGGAGTTATATTGCTTCAATACATTTCCGGTAAAAAAAAATAACTTCCGCCCTTTTTTAATTGGAAACATAATGCAATAAAAACATTAACATGTGAGTCAGCTCAGCTTGATTAATTTATATTGGCGAGTACCTATATATACAGTGGTATCTCATAGTGGTATAATGGATTAGTTTCAAGATATCGCTACTCCTCGGTTGAAATCCCAGTAGTGTAAAATATTTGTTTAATGAATATGAGTGTTTGTACTGAATCATAGCTGTTTATTTATATGTACCTATATATTCTTCAAACATATAGCTACTGTACCCTTATTGATAATAAGGTATGTATTTCTATCCGTGAACTAACTATGTTGTATCCTCTAACAGAAGTCTTTTACTGTGCTTACTTTGGATCAGACCCGTCTTTCCCATTGGGCACTTTGGGCAAGTGCCCAGGGCCCCGCGATCGATAGGGGGCCCCCTCAGATCAAATACAAAGTCTCTAGTTCCTATTAAATCACCAAACGGAAGTCATAGGGGCCCCATTATCCTAATATGCCCAGGGCCTCCAATAGGTCAAAGACGGCACTGCTTTGGGTACAGC